CATGCCTGATTTGCTTTGGGAGTTGGTCAAATTTATACCCTACCTTCTGCCTCAATGGTCAGCAGCCATCCTGTGTGCTGTAATTTATTTAGCTGGAAAAACTGTTACGGATGCACATGGAAAATAAGTTTGGACTTCCTCAGAGCAACCAAAAGCATCAGATGTGGCACTCTGGAATAATTCCTTACCACACACTGAATTTATTTTATTTGTTTTCAAAGGAGGATAGGGAATGAAGGGACAAAAGTGACTTGTTTTAGAGCGGCAAATCATCCTTACCTTTTCCAGACAAAAACCTCTCCATGAAAATCCCAAAGTCGTCTACTTTTTCTAGTGTGCGTGCAGCTTTGGTAAAATGATAATAGGAAACCAGAACATCCTTTGGGTTTCTGGCCACATAAACAACCTGCAGGAATAACAACAAATTCTTTTCGGCTTGACTCTTCCAATGATGAGATAGATATTGCTAGCAATGAAACTGTTCTCCCAAACCTGGCTTTTCCCATAATATTCTCTGCTTGTATCTAATAATAAAATTGTTAACCGTCTGCAGCTTTATTTCTTCTGTGTGGTTTTTAATTGACAGAGTCCAATTTCAATTTCCTTCTTTCCAGTACTGGTAATAGTAACTAAGAGAGAAGAGTGTTGTGACGTGGGGTTTGTGATTTCAGCTCTCTTGACATAATATGCTGGAGACAGTTCTCTAGTAACACTTCTTTATTAAGCAAACAAGACTGAAGACTGAGGAGGGGAAAGCTACATTTATAGGGACAGGGGACTAGCTAGAAAGGATACATTTTGGAGGGAACAATATCCGGCAATCACAGTCCTGCCTTTTGGAGGAAACCAATAAGACAGAGGATCCAAATACAGCAGCTTAAATGAACCAATAGTAGCTGTACCCTTTGAAACCAAAAGGCAGTTACTTTACCCTAATGCAAATACAGACAATAATAATACAGATATAAAATCCTTTGACTCAATACACAACAAAGAGAATGTGTACTTGATGCTCTAACATTAGAGCCTTTTTACAGTGTTCAAGCTCAGCATACCTGCCTCTCACTGTTGGATTTTTCCTCGCCTCCCTGGAGGTTTTTATATCCTGCTGGAACAATGATGAAATATCTTCTTCAGAGCTGGGAGGCTTGCCTCCACTTGATTCAAAGGTGAGTTGTTTGCGTAATCAGAACTATATCTGATAATCTTTCATCATTTATAAGTCTCCCTATTAGCTAGCCGCTAATAAAGATTGCTTAGCACACAATTTTCTCAGCCAGAAGTCCCCCTCAAGATGCATTTTTGACAGACCCTCCTGTCAGTTATATGACGTTGGTCTTCATTGTCTCAGTCTCCCTTCAAATCTCCTGGAAATCTCATTGCAGCAACATATCCTATGCTGGTTCTTCCTTTCCTGGCCAGCTCATAAGATTACTTGGACACTTTTCTTACACTCCTCCCCACAAATAAAGGATCTTCTGAATTCCCACCATCTCACCCATTGACAAAGCTGACACTCCCAGAACAGCAAAACTTCTGTGGTCTTTTTTCATTCTGATCCAGTGACATAAGCTTTAGGAATCCTTTTTGTGCTGACCAAACTGTACCACAAGATCGAGGCATGAAATTCAGGAGAAAGATGTTGATCCTTAGAGAGCCGGCCCACCAGGGAGGAAAGGTTTGGTATGCTCATACTATCCTGGTATGCTAATTATTTTACATGAAGATATGAGTAAGATGTGTAAACACTGGAATTTCCACTTTTTAAAGAATATTAATGATCTGAAAAAGCATACTTCACAATTGTTCTGTTTCATGTGATAAATGGGATGCGTTCTATATGGGCTTAAAACAAAGTGAGACAAACATTTGATTTGATCAAATAATAAATACGGCAAGACCTACTTTCCCTCTTCCATTCCTCAATCCCTTTGGTACTAAATAGTAGGGTAGATGGGTAGTAAAGAGTCGAGGTGACGGTCGATTGACGTAATCCATATTGCGGACATTGGCCTCCAGCCATGGAGCTCTATCTAGTAAGTCTATGTGTTCAGTTCCATCTCGATGACCTTTGTGCAAAATCAAGCTCAAAATATTTTGAGTCCATACTGTTCCTACGAATGAGGATAAGTTATTTAATTCATTCAGTGCCATAAATGTACATACTAGTTTACAGAGCAAAATAATTAAAAACAACATGCCTCTCAATCGGGGAGCTTACTATTTAAATTGCAAACTGTTAGAGACAAGGAAGGATGAGGAAGAAGGGAGTCAAAGGAAACACAGCAAGGGCAGGGATGGTGGAATAAGAGAATGTGAAGATTCACCAAGGCTTCCTTTCCATTGTGGGTGAGAAATAGGAAGCCTTCATGGAATCTGAGGATTTGGGAGGACAGAAAAATATTTGCTAAGATGTTCCTTTCTTTTTCAGAAAACCACCACAAACTCTGTTCTAGATGCTCCCTATAGATGGAAATGCAAATGACCAGTCAAAGTCCAGGGAATAAAAAGAGTTGTCAGTCCTCCAAAGTACTTTGATTCAGCTTATTCCAATCATTATTCTTCTTCTCAGGAATTTTGAGAAATGCTCATTGTATTTGGCCTTCTTGTCACTCAATTCCTCAATGCCTATATAATGCAGACCTGTCAAATTACTGTCTAAACCCCTACGTTCTACCCATTGAATATGTCCCATTTGCACAAAGACTTGGAGCTTCCTCTCCTCTCCCATTCCAGTTACTGGATCCCCTTCAAAGCAGATCTGGGGATACACAGGAGGGGGCGCCTATGGGAAGGGAAAGTCAGGAAAAGTTGTGGTGTGCAAGTGGAAGTTCTTGTGTGAAGGGCACAACTGCATTGGACACAGTCCCCTGTTACTGAACAGCTGTGGGGGGGGGAAAACTAATGAAATAAAGAGATACAGGTATGAGAGTCTTTTAACAATGGAAGTTTACCAATACCATTTTACAACCACATGCAAAAGGCACACATGTTTCTAATCTTACCTGACTTTGGATAAGTAGCTAGAAACACATCACTGTCCCTGATTTCAAAATCCTCCAGGGAATCTATGTGCTCCGGTGAACAACAATCTGGCTGGAAATAAAATCCTTTGTATTTGACAGCGTATTTCTCGGCTGGTTGCATTGCCTGCATAAGAATAAAGAGCGGAGAAGCAGAGAACAGTTCCCGCTATGGCGCTGCAAGAGGAAATCACAAAGAAAGAGAGTTGTCATTCGGTGAAATCCTACTGTGCTTTTGCAGAGCTCAAAGCACAATCCCAGGCTTCCCCTACATCGGAGGTGAGCGACATAGAGCTCCAAGGTACCCCCTGTTCCTTGAGGAACAGAAACGTGGCTCAGCATTGAAGCATTTCCCCCCTTCCTTTTAGTTTATTTTCTAAAACGGTGCTGCTTCCGACTCACCGCAGCCTTCCACGTTTCCGCGTAGAGACTGGGCGTCCTTGCCAGAGTCCTTTCGCTGCTTCCTCATTCCCGGGGTTCAGGAAGGAAGTGCTTGGCTCCAGCAGGGCCCTAGAGACCTCCTGCTCCTTCCCAAAGCCCGGGAAGCGCTTGCCGGGCTCCGGCACCGCGCTGCCCTAAATCGGCCCCTGCTGAGGAGAACTTCCTTCTTGAGGCAAGGCTGGTCTCTAACCCAGCCCAGCCAGGCACCTTTTGCCAGATCCCGCAACCCGCCTCCATTGTTTCCCTCTATTTAGTTGAGCACTCTCGCAAAACCCTTCTCAGCTCTCGTTCTGCCCCACCAGGCTTCTTGTCAGTGGCTCCACTCCGGTCCTTTCCAGGCACAGCAACGGGCGACGAAGCCCTTCCCTCCGAGGCTGGGCTCCCAAGGCTTCCCCACTGTCGAAATCCCAAAGGAATGAGGCAAGAGACGGGGAAATCTTCTGTGCGTGGGAAGAAAAGCTTCGAGGATTTGGTAGAGCATATTTTCTTGCCTGCCTGGGGCCAAATCACTTTCTCTCTTGGTGTTAGCGTCTATCTATTCCTGGGGGAGTCGGAGGTATTTCTTTCTGTTCTGCTCCCCCCCCCCATCCCACATCCAGCGGATCCATGTGTGTTTTCGTAATGAGGGTGCTGGGTGAATACCCAGGGGATTCCTGTTGGGGCGGGTTTTCCAGAACTGAGACACCGCCATCCAAAAGGATGTGGGAGAATGTTTTACTAAGGTCCAGTACCAAGATGAAGTACCAGGCTTGTGAAGTGAGCCCTCTGCTTTATGCAAGTGAGGTGTGTGGGCAATGCCAGGAGGCAGGAGCGATGCCTCAACACCTTCTACATGTGCTGCGTCAGGAAAATTTGGGGTATTGTATGTATCTCTTTGTACACACATGACTTGCATTCCAATCTCAACATCTTTAAACTCCAAAAGAAGCCCCATTGGTTTTAATAAAACATACTAAATAAATCAGCGTTGGTTGGTTTAGAAATCTATCCAAGAAAGGTAGTGACTTTTTTCATTTGCACGCAGCTTATCTAAGATCGAAATTTTCTCAAGCCCAAGAATGAACTTTCAGATCCAACAGATTGGCAGCAATATTTTCCACCATTTCCAACATCTTCACTATCTTCCACCTTGCCTGTTCCAAAGGGAAGAGCCCCCTCCATGCCTGTGGGGTGCCCAGGACAGCTGGGTCAGGCTATAACACCGACCTCTCCCTCCCTCATGTGCCTCTGCACCCCTTGGCAGCAGGTGGCATCCTCTGTCCCTCCAGGGCTCCCTGACTAGGGCAGCTGTTTTTCTCCCCGCCCCCAAAAACACACACAAATGTGTTGAGGGGGTGTTTGTGCATGCTTGCCCAGGTCTGGTCAGGTGCTGCTGACCTAGTCTTTGAAAGAAAGCCTAGATCTGCCCCTGTTCAGATCGCTCTGTTCACTTCTGAATTAATAATTAATAAACCCAATAGTTAGTTTGGGATTCCTTAACTTTTGCACATGGGGTCAGAAATTAGGACATGTTGGAATGTAGAAAGAGAAGAAGCGGATAGTACAAATGTAATTTTATTGTGGTGTTTTTTAAAAAAATATTGTGCATATTCGAACATTAGGAAGCTGTTAAGCCATATGAGAGTTTGTTTGTTTTTTACTAACTCTTACAAATAGGGCTGGATTAAATGCATACAGTGTACTTTATTTCATCCTTCCAGGCTGAAGGCAGACTCATAATTCATCATGGATGTCCCAGCAGAACTCGATGGGCAGCTTTTCCATTCTCTCCTTAAAAACGCTGTCAAACCTTTCACTTTGTGCGACTGTCATCGTGTTCTTCCAGTCTCCAACAGTGCCTGGCCCAGGAAGCAGACAGAAAGAACGTGCATTGTGGTGGTCAAATAAATATCCATAACTCCAGATATATTCCATCCCTAGATGCAATTGTCAGGTGAATATGTCAGGAGTTCTGCAAGCAGCACCAAGTCAGTGTGATCTACCATTAACTTACCTTTCCGAAGAAAATGTCCTTTGCTGTGGTCCATGAGATCCGGTGGCATGAACTCATAGTTTGCCCTGGGATCTGCTTTCATTTTATTAAATGTAGCCTGATCCACAACAGCATCCACCTCCTTTTCCGTCAGTCTCTTTCCCAGGAAGTTGCATAATTTCAAGACACAGCTTCTCAGATCCTGAAATGGAATGTGGTTTTAATGTCAGGCCATCCACAATAGAGAAACCTGACAGCCTAGAGACTAAAACTCATGGAATAGGCAGGAATACAAGCAGGGAAAACAAGCAGCCTGCATCTTTCTTTGCCTAGTTTGTAATAATTGCAATTGTATTATACTTTCATTGTTGCTTTAATTCCATGTGCCATGCAGAATGCATTATATTCTGGGGCAGCTCTGAGTCCACAAGTAAATAAATAAATGTCCCTGTTGAAGACACAAGGGAGGTTCTGTGACATCTCTACTCAGCATCAGAGGGCCTGTGAAATGACATATCTTGATTGGGACCATGACACTTTATTTATAGCCCCATAATCTCTCAGGGGAAATGGTTATATGCACTATTTGCTGTCTAGGGTCCGAAAAGCTGCTCCTGAATCCATGGCCTGCTAGGCTTTGAAGAATCTTTAGGAAAGGAAGCGAGACTAGCAGGGGAAGCAGCAGCTGAGGGCACTTGAATAATCAAATTGCTTCCTTCCTCTATTTTGTAAAGGTGAGTTTTGATGGATGTTTAATATCAGACTGCATAGCATTTTGATAACTTACCTTCTTCATTTCTTCATAGGTAAGAAACAGAATATTGAAGTCATCCTTGTGAGAGTACCAGCCTCCCACATGGTCCAGCCATGAACCTCCATATACTGAGAGGAGAAAAGTTGATTTGGCATAAAATGTATATCTGATTATTTTTTGAAAAACATTCAGAGAGAAGCAGTACAAACATATAAATTCCATTAGAACAATTTAAAGGAATCATTTTAACAATCAGCAGTGGAACAAACCGTTAAACAGAAGCTGAATTAATCCCACCCAACCTCACCAAACACTTTCTCAGAGAAGGAATTTGCAGAGGAGTTCTGCATTTTAAGGCTCCCTGCTGTGCTTCCCATCCCAATGCGATGAGAGAGTGATGGGTGGGCTGAGATCAGTCCAGCCTTCCTCCAGCCCCCTTCCTTCCCACTCTGGCATTTTCCTTATATGGTGTGGAAGTTAATACAACATTTAAGAGACCATGTCAGGGTTTCTGAGTTATTACTTGACACAAATCTCTACACTTGATTAAGGATTAGGTGCTCCACCTTGTCATGATTTGTAGTTGCTGCATCCTGATGCAGACAGCATACAAATCCACCTGATTTGCTTTGGGAGTTGGCCAGATCTATACCCTCCCTTCGGCATCAATGCGCACCAGCCATCAGTGGCATAAAATGGTGTAGTTGGAGTCTGAGTTGGAGACTCTTTGTGATGCATGGATGTGGAATTTCCTCAGAGTAACCTATGGCATCAGACATGGCATTCTGAAAATTATCCTTACCACACAGAGAATTTCTTTAGTCTTTTGTGAAAGGTGATAAAGATGAAGGGACAAGAGTGATTCATTTTAGAGTAGCAATTCATCCTTACCCTTCCCAGCCAAAAACCTCTCCATGAAAATTCCAAAATCTTCTACCTCTTCATATTTGGCTATAGTTTTGGAAAAATGGTAAAAGGAAACCAAGACATCCTTTGGGTTTCTGGCCACATAAACAACCTGCAGGAATAACAACAAATTCTTTCGATTTCTAAAATAATAAATGGATGGATCTCAGATATCTCTTCTTGTGGATTCTTGGTGCTTCCAAGTTGCTTTATAGCCCTGGCAGCGTCACACTCTTTTGCAACATGCATGTCACATGCACAGTGCAATCCTATGGTGTCGAATGAGCTTATTCTTATTAAGTGTATTGGATGGCACCCTTGTAACGAATGCCATTTTTTTTCTTTTTTTAAAATACTTTTATTTTGCTTTAAACAAATACATATAAATATAGACAACCAAAATTACAAAAGAAAATTACTTAATAATGATAATAATGAAAAAGCTAAAAAACTACAAAAAATATCAAAATACATGGCATAAAACATAAGAATAAGGATGAGAAAAAATGGGAAAGGAAAAGGGAAAGGGAAAGGGAAGAAGAAGAAGAAGAGGAGGAGGAGGAGGAGGAGGAGCCAAAACACAGAAAGGCTCATCTACTGTACGCTTCCATCAAGGTCACAACAGATCATTATTCCTATCGATTCTCTCTATCTGCATTCCAAGGAATCCCTCATCTTGGTATCAGGGAACATTTCTCTATTAGGTATCATTCTAAACATAACCAGGCCTTTCTTGTTGAACCCTTATCCCCTAGATCATTATTTATACATTCCCATTCTTCTTTCATCATCTTTTTAGGTTTATCTCGTAGTGCATCTGTCAGCTTTGTGAGCTCCAAGTACTCACACAACAAATGCCATGTTTTGAATGGGCTGCAAGATGGCTGAAGACCACCACATAAAATGGATGCTGTTGATGAACTATTAATAAATTGTGCTGATCAAAGAGTGAATGGAATGTGCATGTTCTGGCAAAAGTACTGTACCTGCAAGGAAGTGGAAAGACTGACTGTGCAATGCTAGTTACAAACAATGAGTATCGTCTTGTGCCAAAAGTTACAGAAGACCAGGCGCAAACCATGAGAGTTGTGATATGCCAAGAACATGCTAAGGGTGGAGGACTGCCAAGAACATGTCAAAGGCAATGAGAAATGCCTTTGATTCAGATGTGCACCAAAAAAGACTATATAAGATCAGGCTTTTCAGGAGGGTTGGTGTGTCGGATGCAGCCAGGATCCCGCTGTCTGCCCACCCAATCCAGAAGAGTGGTGAGTGTATGTGTGATTGTGTGAGTGACTGAGTGCATGTTCCCTTATCTTGTTACGTGTTCTGCTTGTTAATCAATAAAGCAATGTTATGTAGAAATTCCAATATATTGGTTGTCTGACTGCTTACTTGTGTTCTGCCTGAAGTGCACTGAATCTCAGATAAAAGAACCTGTTTTATTCTTAACACCCTCCAGGACTTTTACTATGGTGGAGCATAAACTCTGTGCTGTTTAGGAGTCATGGGAATTATTTCAAGCTCAGGGTGCACAGAGCATTATTCATTCATATGGACAAAGGAATTGCAGCTGAATGAACTGCCCTCAAAAACGGAGAAATGTTAACAGAATCTGAGATGTTCATTTAAAGAAGGCAAGACAAACATTTAATATGATCAAATAATAAATGTGCTGTTTCCTACTTTTGCTCTTATGTTCCTTAACCCTTTGGGTACTAAATAGTAGGGTAGATGGGAAGCAAAGAGGCGAGGTGATGGACGACTGACGTAATCCACATTGCGGACATTGTACTCCAGCCACGGAGCCCTGTCTAGTAAGTAGACTTTTTCGGTTCCATCTCGGTGACCTTCATGATAAATCAAGCTCAAAATATTTTGGGTCCATATTGTGCCTATAAACGAGAATAAGTTTACTTAATTTCATTTATATGGGGATGCGGGTGGCACTGCGGTCTAAACCTCAGAGCCTAGGGCTTGCCAATCAGAAGGTCATGGTTCGAATCCCCGCGACGGGCCCCTGCTCCTGCCCACCTAGCAGTTCAAAAGCACATCAAAGTGCAAGTATATAAATAGGTACCGCTCCGACAGGAAAGTAACTGGCATTTCTTTGAGCCGCTCTGGTTTGCCAGAAGCGGCTTAGTCTTGCTGGACACATGACTCGGAAGCTGTCTGCGGACAAACGCTGGCTCCCTCGGCCTATAGAGCGAGATGAGCACAAAGCCCCAGAGTCATCCGCGACTGGACCTAATGGTCGGGGGTACCTTTACCCTTTACTTTAATTTCATTCATTGTCATGAATGTACTTAGTGCCTTAAAGAGTGAAATAACTTAAAACAACATGCAATGGGGTGAGCTCCCATTGCTCGGTCCCAGCTCGTGCCCACCTAGCAGTAGTTAAATAGATACTGCTCCGACAGGAAAGTAAACGGCATTTCTGTGAGCTGCTCTAGTTTGCCACATGACCTGGAAGCTGTCTGTGGACAAACATTGGCTACCTCGGCCTATAGAGCTAGATGAGCGCTCAACTCCAGAGTCATCCGCAACTGGAACTAACTGTCCAGGGATACCTTTACCTTTACTTTAATTTAATTCATTATACTAACTACATGTACTTAGTACTTTAAAGAGTGAAATAACTGAAAACATGTCTCTGCATCGTGGAGCTTACTATATGAATTGCAACACTAAAAAGAAATGAGAGAGAGGAAGGGAATCAACACAGCAAGCAGAGGCAGATTTAGGGACCTGGCTACACAGGTTGCCAACACTATGATGTCAAATAGAAGGTGAGAGGTGAGGGGCACCAAATTTTGGTGTCACATAGACCACCACTGAAATAGGGGCTGCAAAGGGTGAATGAGGAACACTGACCAAGGCTTCCTTTCCATTGTGGATGAGAAATGCAGAACTTCCCCTCTCTCTCCTCTCCCACTCCCGGTTATTATCTCCTCCCCACCCCACCAACCCTCCAAGGCAGATTTGGGGAACACTGGGGACACAAGGAGAGAGAAGAGTGCAGGAAGTTCTGGTGTGGAAGTGGAAGTTATTGCATGTAGGGCACAACTGCATTGGATACGGACACCCCCCCCCTGGACTGACAAAGCATTTGAATGTTTTTGATGTGTATTTATGTTGTTTTCAAAACCTCAAACATGTTGAGAGTGGTGGAAAACACATTATTTCACCTCTTTCTTAAAAACAAATCAGAACATGGCCCAGTTCACCTTTATGTAACCAGGTAAGTTCCATACTACCCACATTGACCTCAATTTTGCATTTGGTTTTAATCTTGCGTTAGGATAATACAGATACTATGTAGATATATGTGGGTATCCAACAGGGTTGAATTGAAATGATGGTTCAACGAGAATGTACTCTTACCTGATTTTGGATAAGTGACTAAAAACACATCACTGTCTCTTATTTCAAAATCCTCCAGGGAATCTAAGTACTCCACTGAAGTAAATACTGGCCGGAAATAACATCCTTTGTATGTGAAAAGGTATTTCTCCTCTGGTTGCATTGCCTGCCTAAGAATAAAGAGAAGAGAATAGTTCCCTCTATTATACGACAATGGGAAATCACAAAGAAATAGAGGTGTCATTTTGTCAAATCCTACTCTTTTTGCAGACCCCATAGCAGAATCCCATGCTTCTCTTCCATCACAGGTGAACAACATATAGGTCCATCATTTAAAGAACAGAGACTTGACCCATCATTGAGGCAACAAAGCATTCTCCCCCCGCTTTAAGTGTTTTTTTAAAATGGTGCTGCTATCAACTCAAAGCTGGCTTTGCCCCACACAATAAGGCTTTTCTCTCTCACCCTGACATAGTTATTTCTCAAGTGCATGTGTGCAGCATGCAAAATAGCAGCCCTTGGCCTCACTTTATGCTGCCTGGCATCACAGTTTGATCAGTGTTGCTATTCTGACACTCATTCTAGTACTCAAGGGAGGTGGGAAGGAAGCAAAAAACTGCTCCCTGGAAATGGATCCATGGGAAATGAAAGACGGAATCTGTTGGGAACTCTTGCCATTTCCTCCTGGGTTCTTGATCAGCTTCAGGAAATTGGGGTGATGTATTTTCCGGGCTTCCTGGGACCAAACCATAGATGTGCCTGGGGACCACAGGGTGGCAAAGAGAAAGGTATTGTTCACCGCCCGTCTGGCTTCCATTGCCAGCTCTGGCTGAAACTGCTGCTGAAATGTGGTGCCCAAGGACATTCCATGGAGGGAATGCTGCCCTCAGCTTCATCTATGATAATACAGAGAGTTGGCTACACATACAATGGGCCCTGTTGGGCAGGCGTTCCCATACTGAGACACCACTGCCAAAATAGCTCTTTCTTTTTTTGTCTCCTCCCTGCTCCAATTTCTCTCCTCCCACGTAGCGTCTGACAAGGAAGGCACTTGCAAGGGTGGGCTCAGTGCATGGTATAAGGAGGCGGGGAATTATTATGGGAGAAAGTTCAAGGCTCCGTTGGGTGCTGAGGAAACCAAAGTTGTCGCCAGTTGTCGCCAGGTCTTTTATACCTGTTGGGACATTTCAGGCCATAATATATAATATGATGCATGACATCAAGATATACCACCTTGTGATATTATAGATGAATGGGTGTTTCATAAATATTTAAATAAAAATAAAATCCATGGCTTAAAAGGGATGAAGAAATAAAGTGCCATGAAGCCTGAAAATCACTTTAATTCTCTATATAAGTCTTGTGTTTCATCGCTAAGAAACGCAACAATTGTTTAGTGGAAAACATTGGATGTCCAAAATAGTAACAAGAAAAATACTCCGTTTGATTTTCCAATATATAAATTAAGGGTTGTATCCCATGCCGAATGAGCAGGGTTCGACTTGCACAATGGGAGTTCACATTCAGTCCCCTCAAAATAACTATTAATCTCTGGTAGCACAAATGTTGCATTTTGTGTGACACCATAAAATAATATGAACTCTGACAAGAGTTTTCATGCATCTGATGAAATACCTTATTGCCCCGCAGAACTCTTGCAAGAAAGAGTAGAGTAGTTGTTTGTCATTCAGTAGTCCTGCTTTTCCCTGGAATGTTTAATTTACAAGAAAACTTACCTACCTTTTGTTTTTAGAGTCAAAAAGTGTGCAAGAGAGAGGGAGAGACCGATCTCTTCTGTAGTATTTCAGCTTTTCAAGGCTCACGTTCAGAGCTCTCAAGGAAACTGCTTTATAGAATTCTGTTAACTAATAAGAGTTTGATTAAATCGATGGCTCCTCTTTAGTAAATCATTCCTTGCAAGTTATGCAAGAAAAGAACGGTAACACAGGAGCATCGAGGCACATAATCTAAAGAACAACATGGGAAGAACTTTGCACAAGCAACAGCCAATATCAACAGTGGTCTTTGTCCGTTTAAGAAATAAATGAGGTATTATATCTGGTCCACTAGTAGAAAATGGGCTCAAATTGTACGAGAGACCTGAGATTCACCAATTGATGTCTATTTGTACACACATGCCTGCACTGACTTACACCCCAATAACACCAACTTTAACTCCAAAATAATTCCTTTTTGTTTTAATCCAGAATGAGGCAGCTAGACTGGTGACTGGGAGTAGCCGCCGAGACCATATAACACCGGTCCTGAATGATCTTAATTGGCTCCCAGTCCATTTCCGAGCACAATTCAAAGTGTTGATGCTGACCTTTAAAGCCCTAAATGGCCTCAGTCCTGTATACTTGAAGGAGCGTTTCCACCCCCATCGTTCTGCCCGGACATTGAGGTCCAGCGCCGAGGGCCTTCTGGCAGTTCCCTCGCTGCGAGAAGTGAGGTTATAGGGAACCAGACAGACGTCCTTCTCGGTAGTGGTCCTGCCCTGTGGAATGCCCTCCCAAGCAGATGTCAATGCAATAAACAACTATTTAACTTTTAAAAGTTAAACCCCTGTTTAGGGAAGTTTTTAATGTCTGATGCTGTATTATTTTTAATATTTGGTTGGAAGCCACCCAGAGTGGCTGGGGAATAAATTATTATTAATAATAATAATAATAATAATAATAATAATAATAATAATAATGTGGCGTTCGTACGGAGCCCCCAGTCGTCTCACGGACTAGTGACCCGTACACCACTAATCCGCTGCCACCAACCAGGTCCTCCCTGGTAAAATCACTTCAGTCTCAGTCAGCTTTTCAATTCATAAAGAAGAGTGTATTTTATTTCAGACTTAAAACAAAACTATTACAGCATTCCAAACAGTGTTCCTCTTTACTTTCTTAGTCTTATGTTCCTCTCTCTATCTCTACTACCACCCCACACTCAAGGACCAACTGCCCTAACTGTCTCTCTATTACCAACTGCCTTTCCCAACCAGCCAACCCACTCAAAAACCAACCAACTACCGACCCACAACTCCCAACGAACTCCCAGAACTCCTCCCAGAACTCCTTTATAGACCCACTGACTCCACCCCCTGGGTCCTGTCTGTGCAATCTATTTAACTATTTCCCCTTCAGCACTCTCTCATATATGGTAACGTCACATACCTCCCCCCTTAAGAAGTTACGATTCAGGAGGGTTAACTTCCTAAAGTTACACTCCTGATCAAACAGTTTTGTATGTGGTTTTGTTTTTGTTTTTTCAAATATATATATACATACAAAAACAAGTAAATTGTTGATTGTCTTTGTTCATCCTTCACTCTCTGGTTTTTGTGATAAGGCATCCGCCACAATGTCCAAGGATTCTTTCTCAACCGTCGAGAGGTGCTTTTCTCTAGGCAGTAACTTCTTGCTGATGTAGGTGATTGGATATAGGTTTCCTTCTGGTCCTGGCTGGCTTAAGACGGCCCCGTTTCCGGTGTTTGAAGCGTCCTCCTGTTACACGGTAGGGGTTCACAACAATGGGTTTGGCTTCCCCTGTGTCGATCCGATGTTCCACACCTTTGGCCACTCCTGGAATATTACTGAACAAGGATTCATATTCCAGCAAGATCTGTTTTGCTTCCTCTGGCTGTTTAAGGGTTAAAGTCGGAGCCAATTTTATGTCTGTTAATCTACTCTGGGACTCTCTCTTGTTCCCCCAGCATGGTATGTCTGGTTCACATGGATCCTCTCGTAAGGCATACAGTGTCCATTTTTCTGTTCTAAAATACAGTTTGATCATATTTACATGCACCACTTTTCGCCCTTCCTCTCCTTGCTGGATCACATAATTTACTTCATTCATTTTGGCTTTTGTTTTGCCTGGTGCCTCTTCTCTGACATATGTCACAGGTTTGATAGTATTGTTTTATTTGTTTCCCCATTCCTGGCCAATAAAAATTTTGAGCCACTCTGTTTTGTATGTGTAATACCCATATGCGCTCCAAATACACTGTTGTGAGCGTGCTGCAGGATTTTGCCTTGGTATTCATGTGGGATTACTAATTGTCTTCTCACTTCTTCACCCCCCCTGCATGGTGGGTCAAGGACTTCTCGATATAAAATGTCCTTGCTCAAACAAAACCGTTCTGGGCACTAAGGAGTTAACGGCCTCTCCGACTCGGCTGCCTCAAAGTACTTTTGTAACTCAGTATCTTCTTTTTGCTTTTTGACAAAACTTGAGGTTGGACTTTTAGTCAAAGGAAATAAAAAGCTGTCTTTTCTTTCCTCACACTGATCATTCCTTTGCTGTTCTTCAGCATTGTCTGCCTTTGCTACTGTATCCACCCCCTCAGGTTTAGGTGACTGTGGGCTCCCTTTTGCTCTGGTAACTATGAAAGTACTCTGCACATGTTCTAAAATGTCCCAACCAATGAGCACAGGGGCAGGAATTTCTCCCGAAAGGGCTACCTGCCACTTCCCTGCCCAGTTTTTGAGCCTGACATCTATTTCTGCCACCTTTAGGATCTCTGCTTGTTTCGAAAGTCCTTTTAATGTCATTACTTTCCCTGGAATTATGGGCTCATCCCTGATTATTTCCGGGTGGACTATGGTGACTTGCGATCCCGTGTCCTTTAACCCGAGATATCTTTTCCCCTCTATCCAGATATACTCTCCAGCGTTCTTTAACAAGAGATAAGCTATTTCCCAGTAAACAATGCCACATGCAGAAATGGCTCATTTTGTTTTTGTTTATCATCTAAAGCTAATGTTTTCAGGAATACCTTTGCATAGAAAATGCACCTGATGGCTTCCTGTGTTCTCCTTGCTAAACTGTCCAAATTTATACTGCAAACGACTTTTAATGTCTTGTGCTTGGGCAGCTCCACAACTTTGTCTACCTCCCATACCTCAGCTTTCCCCCCACAAAATCACAGGGGGTTGTTTATACAACACCCCCGAGATTGTGAAAGCGCAGTTTATTTTATGATTGCAGGGTTTTTTATTTCAAATGATGGCAAATCTCAGTTGTGTTTCCTGATAAATGATACTGACTTCATATGTTGGAGTGATAGATGTTTCAAAGCCCATACAAACATTCCTGGCTGATAGATATTGGTTTCCTGGGGTCCTTTATCCATCAGCTTTAGTTGCCAGGCAGACAGTAATAATACTTCAGAACAGGGATGGGGAGTGATCTAATTAATGTTTTAATGCAAGTCCACCTAATTTCAACTTCCTGAAACAGTATGTGAACAGAAACACAGCTGCAGTTCATCCATCAAAATTCACACATCTTCAGATTACGTGATACACCTTTCCAACCAAATAATGTGTGTATTTTAGGGGAAAGTGTTTATGATATTATGCCGATAATAGAATGTATATTTTACTGAAAATATCATGCAAAATTTAGTATATTAACAAAAAATATTGTGTGTGTATATTAAGCATCTTTGTATTCAGCATTATTTGTATATCAACAGAAATGTACACTAAAATGCAGACAAATTTTCATGATTTTTTTCTCTTCTGCACAAACTGGTGCAGAAATATGGTGAACCAAAAAGAACTGTGGAAATGTGAGAAACTAAGAGGAAATCCAAACAGATAAGATTCACTCATCCACACCCTTAAAAACTAGAAGAGGCAGAGGCAGTTTTTAAATCTGAAAGCAGAGATGGATCCTGCCACACCTACTGCTTGCTGAAAATAGGACTGGGCAACTCAACCTGTACTAAATTATATTGAGATGGTTTATAAATATCAGAGTCTGGTTCAAGTTTGGGATCTGAAGAATGTGTGCTGCTACGCTCTTGGAAGAGCACAAAGAACCATTTATTTAGGTCTTCTTATAAAATGTAATTCCCCTTCATGGGTCACTACCTTGTTGTGGCGAAGGGGCTTCAATAACTCTGAGAAGCTCTGTGATGGCCTGGGAATCAGAGGCTGAACCGGAGGAATCCCAGCCTGCACAGGAGTCCCCGCCTCCAGGGCCGGCTGAGCTGGGGCAGGGCCTTGATTCTGAAGTGCCTGCACCTGTGCCGGATCCTCAGGAGCAGGCACCAGGTGAATCCAATCTGGCTCCGGAGGCGATTGAGGATGCATTGCCTACAGGTGCGGCCTCTCCTAGCCGTGTCAGGGGAAAGTGAGTCTCCCCCTGGGTCCAGTAACCCACCGGCCTCTCCTGCGCTGCAGAGGCTCAGGGCAGAGAGACGGAGGGAACTGGTTTCTCCCAGGAGGAGTGCTCGCCTTAAGGCCAGGAGAGGTGGGTCACCTGGGGGCCGGGACCGCCCCTTGCCTCAGAGAAGATAAAGGCCAGTCAGCCCTGTCCCAGGTTGCGGGAGCAACGTCGTTGAAGAGCTGTTTCGGCCAGCATCCAGTCCTGTTCCCCCAGAGTTCCTGTCCTTGCCCGGCTCCTCGCTGTGGACCCCACTTCGCCCATGGAGGACTGTCTGCCGACCCTCGACTCAGGTCCTGGACCTCGCCCCACGGTAACCTCCCCCCCTGGACCAGCACAAGCTCTGAGCTATGCTGTGCAGGGCCACCCAAGCCGGACAGGTCATAGCCAAGTGTTTAGACTCAATGTGATTCACCTGGAGAAGGAACTGGCAAACCACTCCAGTATTTTCCCAAGTAAACTCCATGGACATAAAAAAGGAGAAGCTTTGAGAAGAAAGTGAGAGTTTCCAAGGCATGCTCTGGTTCATGGGATCACAGAGAGTCAAACACAACTAAGACGACTAAACAACAACAACAAATAAAATGTAATTAATTTTATCTATGCCTTTTCATGTGATCGTGTTTGCTGTGTGAACTACAGGGGGGAGTATGTGTGTCAAATCACTTCAAGGAATATATTTGGGGTGCATTTGTCTCTTATCGAGTTTCACTGCCTTGAAGTGGCATGCAGCATGTGAACACAATTTTTTTCTACAGCTAGCCCTGTTTTCAGATTCTGATTAATCATTGCCATCCAGTAGGAATCAAATGCTTTCGCCATCTAAAATGTTTGTGAGGCAGTTAGATAGTTCTCCCATTTATCTTTTTCAAACCCACTCAGATACACACTTGAGGGCCCTTTGCAATGTTTATCATCCTTGGGGTCAGAGGAGTTCCTCTGGAATCAGACTTTGTCACTCTTCTTGCACAACCTTTCTCCAGGGGAGTGAGGCGAGGAAGCGACAAGCAGCCCTGTCTTCTGAATTAAAGCCAAATGTGTTCAAGAACACTTTTCCTCATAATAAATTTGTTTAGGAATGAAGCATTCAAAGAGATTATTCAGTACCATAAAAATAAATATCTGTTGCAGCAATCACAGTTTCCCCCCCAATTATTTGCAACACATGGATTGCTAATTGCACAAGCATTCTTTCAAGGGCCAAAGGTGAGTAAGTGACAAGCAGCATACAATAAAATTGCTCTTGTAATTTTTATGTTACTTATTCTACAGTTCTGAAATTATACTATATCACACATTTATGCATACCCAGCAATTTGGTGTAACCCACCAAAGTGACTTATCTTCACCAGGGAAATGATCAAGTATCCATATTGGTTTTGTCAGACCATTACAAGGAAATTACTTCCTGCCTGTTGTATTTCTACTCAAAATGGCTTCAAATAATCACAAACATCTGTTTCAACAATCACAGCTCTCGACCAGTTATGTGCCAACCCACAGGCTGAAATGTTTGTCCTGATGAAATAATTGGAAGAGCATGAAGAAGAATTCCACCCACAATAAATACAGTGGTACCTCGCAAGATGAATGCCTCGCAAGACAAAAAACTCGCTAGACGAAAGGGTTTTTTGTTTTTTGAGCTGCTTCGCAAGACGATTTTCCCTATGGGCTTGCTTTGCAAGACGGAAACGTCTTGCAAGTTTGTTTCCTTTTTCTTAACACCGTTAATACAGTTGTGACTTGACTTCGAGGAGCAACTCATAGAACGCGGTGTGGTAGCCTTTTTTGAGGTTTTTAAAGACTTTGGTGATTTTTGAAGCTTTTCCAAAACTTTTCCGACACCGTGCTTCGCAAGACGAAAAAAATCGCAAGACGACAAAACTCGCGGAAGGAATTAATTTCGTCTTGCGAGGCACCACTGTAAATTGATGATGTGAATGAGCCGGATGATTTACAATTGCCATCTGGGACACCAATAATTAGTTAGTTTGGTTTTTTATAACAATTTTTTTATTAATTTTCGATTACAATAATCCAATGCTAGGCTCAATATAACAGTGCCAATTTAAAATACAATTAATAATCCCAATAGTTAGTTTGGGATTCCTTAACTTTTGCACATGGGGTCAGAAATTAGGACATGTTGGAATGTAGAAAGAGAAGAAGCGGACAGTACAAATGTAATTGTTTTGTGGTGTTTTTTAAAAATTACAGCACATATTAGAACATTAGGAAGCTATTAAGCCGTATGAGATTTGTTTTCTACTAACTCTTACAAATAGGGCTGGATTAAATGCATACAGTGTACTGTATTTCATCCTTCCAGGTTGAAGGCAGACTCATGATTCCTCATGGATGTCCCAGCAGAACTTGAAGGGCAGCTTTTCCATTCTCTCTTTAAAAACGCTGTCAAACCTTTCACTTTGTGCGACTGTCATCGTGTTCTTCCAGTCTCCAACAGTGCCTGGCCCAGGAAGCAGACAGAAAGAACGTGCATTGTGGTGGTCAAATAAATATCCATAACTCCAGATATATTCCATCCCTAGATGCAATTGTCAGGTGAATATGTCAGGAATTCTGCAAGCAGCACCAAGTCAGTGTGATCTACCATTAACTTACCTTTCCGAAGAAAATGTCCTTTGCTGTGGTCCATGAGATCCGGTGGCATGAACTCATAGTTTGCCCTGGGATCTGCTTTCATTTTATTAAATGTAGCCTGATCCACAACAGCATCCACCTCCTTTTCCGTCAGTCTCTTTCCCAGGAAGTTGCATAATTTCAAGACACAGCTTCTCAGATCCTGAAATGGAACGTGGTTTTAATGTCAGGCCATCCACAATAGAGAAACCTGACAGCCTAGAGACTAAAACTCATGGAATAGGCAGGATTACAAGCAGGGAAAACAAGCAGCCTGCATCTTTCTTGGCCTAGTTTGTAATAATTGCAATTGTATTATACTTTCATTGTTGCTTTGATTCCATGTGCCATGCAGAATGCATTATATTCTGGGGCAGCTCTGAGTCCACAAGTAAATAAATAAATGTCCCTGTTGAAGACACAAGGGAGGTTCTGTGGCATCTCTACTCAGCATCATAGGGCCTGTGAAATGATATATCTTGCTTGGGATCATGACACTTTATTTATAGCCCCATAATCCCTCAGGGGAAATGGTTATATGCACTATTTGCTGTCTAGGGTCCGAAAAGCTGCTCCTGAATCCATGGCCTCCTTGGCTTTGAAGATTCTTTAGGAAAGGAAGCGAGACTAGCAGGGGAAGCAGCAGCTGAGGGCACTTGAATAATCAAATTGCTTCCTTCCTCCATTTTGTAAAGGTGAGTTTTGCTGGATGTTTAATATCAGACTGGATAGCATTTTGATAACTTACCTTCTTCATTTCTTCATAGGTAAGAAACAGAATATTGAAGTCATCCTTGTGAGAGTACCAGCCTTCCACATGGTCCAGCCATAAACTTGGAATTACTGATAGGAGAAAAGTTGATTTGGCATAAAATGTATATCTGATTATTTTTTGAAAAACATTCAGAGAGAAGCAGTACAAACATATAAATTCCATTAGAACAATTTAAAGGAATCATTTTAACAATCACCAGTGGAACAAACCATTAAACAGAAGCTGAATTAATCCCACCCAACCTCACCAAACACCTTCTCAGAGAAAGTATTTGCAGGGAGTTCTGCATTTTAAGGCTCCCTGCTGTGCTTCCCATCCCAATGTGATGGGAGAGTGATGGGTGGGCTGAGATCAGTCTAGCCTTCCTCCAGCTCCCTTCCTTCCCACTCTTGAATTTTCCTTATATGATGTGAAAGTTAACATTTGCAACATAAAATGCAACATAAAATGGTGTAGTAGGATTCTCAGTTGGAGACTCTTTGTGATGGATGGATGTGGAATTTCCTCAGAGTAACCTATGGCATCAGACATGGCATTCTGAAAATGATCCTTACCACACAGAGAATTTCTTTAGTCTGTTGTCAAAGGTGATAAAGATGAAGGGACAAGAGTGATTCATTTTAGAGTAGCAATTCGTCCTTACCCTTCCCAGCCAAAAACCTCTCCATGAAAATTCCAAAATCTTCTACATCTTCTAATCTGACTGCAATTTTGGAAAAATGGTAATAGGAAACCAAGACATCCTTTGGGTTTCTGGCCACATAAACAACCTGCAGGAATAACAACATATTCTTTTGATTCCTGGTCTTATTTTTTCTACTGTTTCTTTTGTTTTGCTTCTATAGTTATTTCTGTGGTTGTGAAATGTGCCAGGAACTAAGTTGTTGAAGTGGGATATATATGCATAAAATAATAAATGGATGGATCTCAGATATCTCTTCTTGTGGATTCTTGGTGCTTCCAAGTTGCTTTATAGCCCTGGCAGCCTCATACTCTTTTGGAACACGGATGTCACATGCACAGAGCAATCCTATGGTGTTGAATGAGCTTATTCTTAAGTGTGTTGGATGGTACCCTTGTAATGAATGCCGTGTTTTGAATGGGCCGCAAGACGGCTGAAGACCACCACATAAAATGGATGCTGTTGATGAACTATTCATAAATCGTGCTGATCAAAGAGCGAATGGAATGTGCATGTTCTGGCAAAAGTACTGTACCTGCAAGGAAGTGGAAAGACTGGCTGTGCAATGCTAGTTACAAACAATGAGTATCGTACTGTGCCAAAAGTTACAGAAGACCAGGTGCAAACCATGAGAGTTGTGATATGCCAAGAACATGCTAAGGGTGGAGGACTGCCAAGAGCATGTCAAAGGCAATGAGAAATGCCAATATTCAGATGAACACCAAAAAAGACTATATAAGATCAGGCTTTTCAGGAGGGTTGGTGTGTCGGACACAGCCAGGATCCCGCTGTCTGCCCACCCAATCCAGAAGAAGAGTGGTGAGTGTATGTGTGATTGTGTGAGTGACTGAGTGCATGTTCCCTTATCTTGTTAAGTGTTCTGCTTGTTACTCAACAAAGCAATGTTATGTAGAAATTCCAGTATATTGGTTGTCTGACTGCTTACTTGTGTTCTGCCTGAAGTGCACTGAATCTCAGATAAAAGAACCTGTTTTATTCTTAACACCCTCCAGGACTTTTACTATGGTGGAGCATAAACTCTGGGATGTTTAGAAGTCATGGGAATTATTCCAAGCTCAGGGTGCACAGAGCATTATTCATTCATATGGACAAAGGAATTGCAGTAGGATGAACTGCCCTCAAAAACGGAGAAATGTTAACGGAAACTGAAATGTTCATTTAAAGAAGGCAAGACAAACATTGAATATGATCAAATAATAAATGTGCTGTTTCCTACTTTTGCTCTTCTGTTCCTTAACCCTTTGGGTACTAAATAGTACGGTAGATGGGAAGCAAAGAGGCGAGGTGATGGACGACTGACGTAATCCACATTGCGGATATTGTACTCCAGCCACGGAGCCCTGTCTAGTAAGTCGACTTTTTCAGTTCCATCTCGGTGACCTTCATGATAAATCAAGCTCAAAATATTTTGAGTCCATATTGTGCCTATAAATGAGAATAAGCATACTTAATTTCATTCATATAGGGACATGGGTGGCGCCGTGGTCTAAACCACAGAGCATAGGGCCTGCCAATCAGAAGGTCGGCAGTTCGAATCTCCGCGATGGGGTGAGCTCCCATTGTTCGGTCCCAGCTCGTGCCCACCTAGCAGTTTGAAAACACATAAAACTGCAAGTAGATAAATAGGTACCACTCCGACGGGAAAGTAAACGGCATTTCTGTGAGCTGCTCTAGTTTGCCACATGACCTGGAAGCTGTCTTTGGACAAACATCGGCTCCCTCGGCCTATAGAGCGAGATGAGCGCGCAACACCAGAGTCGTCCACGATTGGACCTAACGGTCCAGGGATACCTTTACCTTTACTTTACTTTAATTTCATTCATTATACTAAGTATATGTACTTAGTACTTTAAAGAGTGAAACAACTGAAAACAACATGTCTCAGCATCATGGAGCTTACTATCTGAATTGCAACACTGAAAAGAAATGAGAGAGAGGAAGGGAATCAACACAGCAAGCAGAGGCAGATTTAGGGACCTGGCTGCACGGGCTGCCAATACTATGATGTCAAATAGAAGGTGAGAGGTGGGGGGCACTATATTTTGGTGTCACACAGACCAACACTGAAATAGGGACAGCAATGGGTGAATGAGGAAGATTGACCTAGGCTTCATTTCCATTGAGGATGAGAGAGGGAATTTCAGTTAAAGGCTTCATAGAATTTGAGGATTTGGGAAGACAGAACAAAATTTGCTAATAAGTTCCTTTATTGTTCAGAAAGCTACCAAAAACTCTATTCCATATTCTTCCCAGAACATTATACAAATGATATTCAAAGTGAAGGAAATAAAAAAAAAAGTTGTCCGTTCTCCAAAGTGCAGTGGTACCTCGGGTTACATACACTTCAGGTTACAGACTCCACTAATGCAGAAATAGTCCCTCGGGTTAAGAACTTTGCTTCAGGATGAGAACAGAAATTGGGCAGCGGCAGTGCGGCGGGAGCGGGAGGCCCCATTAGCTAAATTGGTGCTTCAGGTTAAGAACAGTTTCAGGATAAGAACAGACCTCCGGAACGAATTAAGTTCTTAACCTGAGGTACCACTGTACTTTGATTCAGTGGATTCAAACCATGATTTTTTTATCAATGCTTTCTAGGAACAGAAATGTTGACAAAAGGCCAGTGAGACAAACATAATAGGCAAAAGGCAGTTGCAGAAGCCTTTCTTCATGTCACCCAAGTCCTAAATGCCTATACAATGCAGAACTTTCCCTCTCTCTCCTCTCCCACTCCCAGTTATTGGGTCTTCCCCACCCCAGGACCCTCCAAGGCAGATTTGGGGAACACTGGGGACACAAGGGGAGAGAAGAGTGAAGGAAGTTCTGGTGTGGAAGCGGAAGTTAGCATGGAGGGCACAACTGCATTGGATACAGACCCCTGTTATTATTGGCAAAACTGTGGCAGATAAATGCTGAAATAAAGAGTCACAGGATGAAAAGTTTTTAAGAAAAGAATTAATCAATTCTATTTGACAAACACATACAAAATCCTAAAAGTCAGTGGATACAATAAATCCCTTGCAACCAAATTTGAATGTTTTTGATGTGTATTTATGTTGTTTTCAAAACCTCAAACAGGTTGACACTGGTGGAAAACTCATTATTTCATCTATTTTTTTGAAACAAAACAGAACATGGCCCAGTTCACATTTATGTAACCAGGTAAGTTTCATAGTACCCACATTGACCTCAATTTTGCATTTGGTTTTAAACTTGCGTTAGGATAATACAGATACTATGTAGATATATGTGGGTATCCAACAGGGTTGAATTGAAATGATGGTTCTTCCTATGAAAAGGTACGCTTACCTGATTTTGGATAAGTGACTAAAAATACATCACTGTCTCTTATTTCAAAATCCTCCAGGGAATCTAAGTACTCCACTGAAGCCAAATCTGGCTGGAAATAACATCCTTTGTATGTGAAAAGGTATTTCTCATCTGGTTGCATTGCCTGTTTAAGAATAAATAGAAGGGAATAGTTCCCTCTAATATGCGACAATGGGAAATCACAAAGAAATAGAGGTGTCTTTTTGTCAAATCCTACTCTTTTTGCAGACCCCATAGCAGAATCCCATGCTTCTCTTCCATCACAGGTGAGCAACATAAAGGTCCATCATTTAAAGAACAGAGACTTGACCCATCATTGAGGCAACAAAGCATTCTCCCCCCGCCCTGCTTTAAATGTTTTTTAAAATGGTGCTGCTTTCAACTCAAAGCTGGCTTTGCCCTACACAGGAAGGCTTTCTCTTTCACCCTGACATAGTTATTTCTCAACTGCATGTGTGCAGCATGCAAAATAACAGCCCTTGGCCTTACTTTATGGTGCCTGGCGTCATAGTTTGGTCAGTGCTGCTATCCTGACACTCATTCTTGTACTCAGGGGAGGTGGGAAGGAAGCAAAACTGCTCCCTGTAAATTGATCTAGGGGAAATGAAAGACGGAATCTGTTGGGAACTCTTGCCAATTCCTCCTGGGTTCTTGATCAGCTTCAAGAAACTGGGGTGACGTATTTTCTGGGCTTCCTGGGGCCAAACCATAGATGTGCCTGGGGACCACAGGGTGGCAAAGAGAAAGGTATTGTTCACCACCCATCTGGCTTCCATTGCCAGCTCTGGCTGAAACTGCTGCTGAAATTTCGTGCCCAAGGACGTTCCATGTAGGGAATGCTGCCCTCAGCTTTATCTATGATAATACAGAGAGTGGACTACAGATACAATGGTCCCTATTGGGCAGGTGTTCCCATACTGAGACACCACTGCCAAAATAGCCCTTTCTTTTTTGTCTCCTCCCTGCGCCAATTTCTCTCCTCCCACGTAGTGTATGACAAGGAAGGCACTTGCAAGGGTGGGCTCAGTGCATGGTATAAGGGGCGGGGAATTGTTCTGGGAGAAAGTTTAATACCACCTTGTGATATTTTAGATGAAATGTTTTATAAACATTTAAATAAATAAATAAGAATAACCATAAAATCCTTTGCTTATAATTGATAAATAAAGTGCCATGAAGCCTGAAAATCACTTTAATTCTCTATATAAGTCTTGTGTTTCATCGCTAAGAAATGCAAACAATCGTTTAGTGGAAAACATTGTATGTACAAAATATATTTATCAATATATAAATTAAGGGTTGTATCCCATGCCGAATGAGCAGGGTTCCACTTGCCTAATGGGAGTTCGCATTCAGTCCCCTCAAAATAACTACCGTATTTTTTGCTCTATAAGACTCACTTTTCCCCTCCTAAAATGTAAGGGGAAATGTGTGTGCGTCTTATGGAGCGAATGCAAGCTGCACAGCTATCCCAGAAGCCAGAACAGCAAGAGGGATCGCTGCTTTCACTGCGCAGCGATCCCTCTTGCTGTTCTGGCTTCTGAGATTCAGAATATATTTTTTCTTGTTTTCCTCTTCCAAAAACAAGGTGCGTCTTGTGGTCTGGTGCGTTTTATAGAGTGAAAAATACGGTATTAATCTCTGGTAGCACAAATGTTGCACTCTGTTTGACACCAGAAAAGAATATGCACTGTGCCAAGAGTTTTCATGCATCTGATGAAATGTTGCCCCTTATTGCCCCGCAGAACTCTTGCAAGAAAGAGTAGATTAGTTGTTTGTCATTCAGTAGTCCTGCTTTTCCCTGGAAAGTTTAATTTACAAGAAAACTTACCTACCTTTTGTTTTTAGAGTCGAAAAGTGTGGGAGAGAGAGGGAGAGAGTGATCTCTTTTGCAGCTTGGAGTATTTCAGCTTTTCAAGGCTCACGTTCAGAGCTCTCAAGGAAACTGCTTTATAGAATTCCTTTAGCTAATAAGAGTTTGATTAAATTGATGGCTCCTCCTTAGTAAATCATTCCTGGCATGTTATGCAAGAAAAGAAAGGTAACACAGGTGCATAGAGGCCGATAATGTAAATAATAACAGGGGAAGAACTTGTTTCTTTGCACAAGCGACAGCCAATATCAACAGTGGTCTTTGTCCGTTTAAGAAATAAATGCAGTATTACCTCTGCTCAGGTCCACTAGTAGAAAATGGGCTCAAATGGTAAGAGAGACCTGAGATTCACCAATGGATGTCTATTCATACACACATGCCTGCACTGATTTACACCCCAATAACACCAGCTTTAACTCCAAAATAGTCCCTATTTGTTTTAATAAAACTTACTAAATAATTAGCACTGGTTGTTTTAGAAATCTATCCAAGAAAAGTAGCAACCTTTCTCATTTGCACACAGCTTACCTGAGATCAAATATGACTTATTTCCAAGAATAAACTTTCAAATCCAATATATTGGCAGCAATCTTTCCCACCCTTCAAAGATTTTGAAGGATTTTCAGAGTCCACATCAAGATGGACAGCTCCCTGTCATTTTAGTCAGAATTCCATGAAAGCTATTTCCCAGTAAACAATGCCACATGAAGAAACGGCTCATTTTGTTTTAGTTTATCATCTAAAGCTAATGTTTTCAGGAATACCTTTGCATAGAAAATGCACTTGATGGCTTCCTGTGTTCTCCTTGCTACAGTCCAAATGTATTCTGCAACCCCCTTTCAATGTCTTGGGCTTGGGTAGCTCCACAACTTTGTCTACCTCCTGTACCTCAGCTTTCCCCCCACAAAATCACCGGTTGTTTTTTTTTTATACAGCACTCATGAGATTGTGAAATTGCAGTTTATTTTATGACTGCAGGGTTTTTTATTTCAAATGATGGCAAATCTCAGCTGTGCAGGGCCACCCAAGCCGGACAGGTCATAGCCAAGAGTTTAGACTCAATGTGATTCACCTGGAGAAGGAACTGGCAAACCACTCCAGTATTTTCCCAAGTAAACTCCATGGACATAAAAAAGGAGAAGCTTTGAGAAGAAAGTGAGAGTTTCCAAGGCATGCTCTGGTTCATGGGATCACAGAGAGTCGAACACAACTAAGACGACTAAACAACAACAACAAATAAAATGTAATTAATTTTATCTATGCCTTTTCATGTGATCATGTTTGCTGTGTGAACTACAGGGGGGAGTATGTGTGTCAAATCACTTCAAGGAATATATTTGGGGTGCATTTGTCTCTTATCAAGTTTCACTGCCTTGAAGTGGCATGCAGCATGTGAGCACAGATTTTTTTTCTACAGCTAGCCCTGTTTTCAGATTCTGATTAATCATTGCCATCCAGTAGGAATCAAATGCTTTCGCCATCTAAAATGTTTGTGAGGCAGTTAGATAGTTCTCCCATTTATCTTTTTCAAACCCACTCAGATACACACTTGAGGGCCCTTTGCAATGTTTATCATCCTTGGGGTCAGAGGAGTTCCTCTGGAATCAGACTTTGTCACTCTTCTTGCACAACCTTTCTCCAGGGGAGTGAGGCGAGGAAGCGACAAGCAGCCCTGTCCTCTGAATTAAAGCCAAATGTGTTCAAGAACACTTTCCCTCATAATAAATTTGTTTAGGAATGAAGCATTCAAAGAGATTATTCAGTACCATAAAAATAAATATCTGTTGCAGCAATCACAGTTTCCCCCCCAATTATTTGCAACACATGGATTGCTAATTGCACAAGCATTCTTCAGGGGCCAAAGGTGAGTAAGTGACAAGCAGCATACAATAAAATTGCTCTTGTAATTTTTATGTTACTTGTTCTACAGTTCTGAAATTATACTATATCACACAGTTATGCACACCCAGCAATTTGGTGTAACCCACCAAAGTGACTTATCTTCACCAGGGAAATGATCAAGTATCCATATTGGTTTTGTCGGACCATTACAAGGAAATTACTTCTTGCCTGTTGTACTTCTACTCAAAATGGCTTCAAATAATCACAAACATCTGTTTCAACAATCACAACAACAAATGTGCAACAAATGGATTGACAGATACTACCACATATGCACCCCCTGTTCTAGAGAAGGATCTGAGCAAGCAAATCTGTTCAGAATACTGCTTGCTTTCTTGCTTACAACACAGCTTTAGATGGACTGCAGCAAATCTCTCGAGATCTGCACCATTGGTACACACATGCAAGACAGAGAAAATTTCTGGAATCAGACTCAGTTCACCATTGATGTTCTAGCAGAACCTGAAGAGGGGCCTTTCCATCTGCTCCTGAAAAACACTGTCAAAGCTTTCACTTTTTTGCAATGGCCATCATGTTTTCCCAGTCTCCAAGAGTGCCTGGCACTGTGGTGCTCAAATAGATAGTTGTAACGCCAGGTTGTCACAAAATGCCATCCCTAGTTGCTGCACAGAATCCGGCACCTTTATTGGGAGGTTCCAAGATCAACATGCACATTCTTTTAGTTTAATGTCTCCAGATCAGAGTTGCCCAAAGCAGCCTCTGAGCTGGTTCCTGTGCTGCATGTTCTCGCCAGCCCTCTGTTGCCTTCCTTCACTTCTGCACTCTGTTCACTTCTGAACAGAGAAGCTGCTGTTGCAATTGTGCTTAATTGCTGTTGCTAACCATCCAGAGGCAGGAATGCTGACCCCCCCCATGACTCAAGAGCTGGGGGTGGGGGCGAGGAGGAGGAGAAAAACCAGAGACGCTTGTTGCTTCTGCTAGCTTGACTGGACAAAGGAGAAAAGTTAGTCTACCTGCGCTGCGTAGCAGGGTACTGTATTTTTACACAAACACTCCCCTCCATTTGCACATTAGTTCATTTATCACTCCTCAAGTGTGCTGCCTTCTCAGCATAAAGCACAATTGCTGGCTTTGGTATGTTTTACTGGGAAGTAACTCCTTTGATAAACGAGGCTTCCTTCCTACTGAGGAAAAGGGATGACAAAAAGGGAATCTCTCCCTTGCCCTCCAATTTCCCACAGCCACTACTGGTCTGCTTGTCATCACTGGGCTGTTATTAACATACAGCAACCATAAGACAAAAATATAAAATACAAAATGCATCAACAAAATAGAACCACAACACCACTGGACACCTTATACTTGCAGCAAATTAAAATTCCTAGAGACTCCTTTAACACAAGGTTGACAAAACATGTTATGTTGAGAGTTGTGAGCCTGTACAAATTTAAGGAGTGTTTGTTGCTTGCTGTTATTGCATATCCTTATCTTGCTTTTCCTCCAAGGAGATCAAGGCTGGGTACATTGCTTTGTTATTCTGCGGGGAATATCAGGATTATTCAACATTTCAGTTAAAGCAGAGAACTTGCTTTTCTGGCTCCATGCATGTTGACTTTTTCTTTATTTGATCCATGAATGACAATATAGATTTTTATCTTCCTTTTCCTCCCAGAAGCCCAATGTTATTTTCATTATGATGCAATTCCCCTTTTGTATTTGCAACAACCCTCTGAGGTAAGGTAGCAGTGGGGTAAATTAATATATTGCTATGAGTTTGTGGGTACTAGACACTTCTCATTTCCTGGATCCAATAAGTGTTAGAATTTAATCCAGGCTTGGGATGTTAAACATCTGGGTACAAGACCCGTGTATATAAAGTTGTGTATTAGACACGTCTCACTCCCTGGATCAGGTGGTGCTGTGGGTTAAACCACAGAGCCTAGGACTTGCCGATCAGAAGGTCGGCAGTTTGAATCCCTGTGACGGGGTGAGCTCCCCTTGCTCGGTCCCTGCTCCTGCCAACCTAGCAGTTCGAAAGCACGTCAAAGTGCAAGTAGATAAATAGGTACCGATCCGGTGGGAAAGTAAACGGCGTTTCCGTGCACTGCTCTGGTTCACCAGAAGTGGCTTAGTCATGCTGGGCACATGACCCGGAAGCTGTACGCCGGCTCCCTCGGCCAATAAAGCGAGATGAGCGCTGCAACCCCAGAGTCGTTCGTGACTGAACCTAATGGTCAAGGGTCCCTTTACCGTTTACATGCCCAGGGAATCACCTGGGGTGATGGACCATTAGCAGAACAACAGGAAGGTGATTATTGATTAGGAAAGCCAAAGAGGGGGGCTCTGTGCCAGATGGCAAATGGGAGAGGCCCCTCCCTCAGCTCAGAGCTAGTTAGAAGATAAAGCAGGAGCTCAGAGATATAGGAGCTGCTGTGATGCACACTAGAGAGAAAGAGGCAGGGCATGATGCTGGATCTCTGCTTGAATTCTATCCTAGGCTGTGCCTCTTATCAACCCTTTCATCGTAGGCTCAGGTTGTATATATGTGTAAATAAACCATACTTCATAAGGACACTGCAGTCTCTGCTGTGCCTCATTTCCAAAAGCAAAGACAAACCCCTGGAATATTGCACTGCTGAGATTGAGTGGCATGCAAAAAGATGGACATCAGAAGTCTTAATTGCCAATAGATTGTGAGAGAAGGATGCAGAGGGAATAATCAACTTGCAGTGCACCAGGCCCAAGAATTCCTGTTGGCATTTCTGGTTCGTCATGCCCACTCCAGCCAGCTGTTGCTTCCTTCCCTCAACTCTTCTTCCCATGCTGTGCTATATATCCTTCCCCAACTGAAGTCATCTGGCTTACTCAATATTTGTGATGTCAGCACCAGGCCAGTGACCTAGAGATGGGCAGTGGGATCATGCTGGGACTAGTGATGTGCCCCTCTGAGCTCCTGAGACCTTGCCCAGGGCCTGATGTGTTTGATCGCTGCTGTCAGGTCTAAGTTTTCCTAGACCTTCAGGACGTAGCAAAGTGCACCCTCCTCCCTTCACCTGCCCCATGCTCAAAGATTAACTGAGCCCTAAGCTATCGAAGTAGACAAGCAAGCAGGCAGGCAACCCTTCAAGTCGGTTGGGTCTGCAAGGATTTTTGCATGTGCTAGCATCTGTGTGTCCTTGGAGGAGATGGCGGCAGTGTTGGCAATAGCTCAGCATCCAATTTGCTCTAGTCCTCTCCCTTGAAGCAGAAGACTGCTTGCTGACTGGAAGAGGCACTAAGGTTGTTCCACAGCAGGTGGTGCTTGGCTTGAGGTGTCCAATGTTACAGGGGCAGAACATTTTTCTGTCAACCTGCTTGGTGCCTCTCTATTCTCTAGACTACTGGACTCCTCCCTGGGCTCAGACGCTTTGTAGGGTCCTCATTTCACCTCCTCCATCCCACTAAGAACCTCCCCAGGGTTATTCAGAAGGACCTTCCTGAGCTCCTTCCATTGATCTTCAGGATCCAATCATTCCCTCTGTGACGTCTCTATGGGACTCAAACCACTTCATAAGGTTTAAAGAGCAGTAGTGGGAAATCTGTTTTAACCCTTTCTCTCTGTCCCATGATCCCGATGGAAATTCCCTCTTTACAACTTGACCCATGAAAGAGATTGCTATGGACATCAAACATGCACTGTCCATTTCCCCCACTTCTCCTCCCGACATATTCCTGATGCAGCCTCAAAAATGACTCCGGGGGTAAGGAGAACCCGAGGAACAGTGCAGAGGGGAAGGAAGGTGAGGGGGGATAGTGCCAACCCGCAGGCTGAAATGTTTGTCCTGATGGAATAATTGGAAGAGCATGAAGTTGAATTCCACTCACAATAAATAAATTGATGATGTGAATGAGTCGGATGATTTACATTGCCATCTGGGACAGCAATAGTTAGTTAGTTTGGTTTTTTTTAACAATAATTTTTATTAATTTTCAATTACAATAATGCAATGCTAGGCTCATTATAACAGTGCCAATTTAAAATACAATTAATAATCCTAAAAGTTACTTTGGGATTCCTTAACTTTTGCACATGGGGTCAGAAATTAGGACATGTTGGAATGTAGAAAGAGAAGAAGTGGACAATAGAAATGTAATTGTTTTGTGGTGTTTTTTAAAAAAATTACAGCACATATTAGAACATTAGGAAGCTATTAAGCCATATGAGATTTGTTTTCTACTAACTCTTACAAATAGGGCTGGATTAAATGCATACAGTGTGCTTTATTTCATCCTTCCAGGCTGAAGGCAGACTCATGATTCCTCATGGATGTCCCAGCAGAACTCGATGGGCAGCTTTTCCATTCTCTCCTTAAAAACGCTGTCAAACCTTTCACTTTGTGCGACTGTCATCGTGTTCTTCCAGTCTCCAACAGTGCCTGGCCCAGGAAGCAGACAGAAAGAACGTGCATTGTGGTGGTCAAATAAATATCCATAACTCCAGATATATTCCATCCCTAGATGCAATTGTCAGGTGAATATGTCAGGAATTCTGCAAGCAGCACCAAGTCAGTGTGATCTACCATTAACTTACCTTTTCGAAGAAAATGTCCCTTGCTGTGGTCCATGAGATCCGGTGGCATGAACTCATAGTTTGCCCTGGGATCTGCTTTCATTTTATTAAATGTAGCCTGATCCACAACAGCATCCACCTCCTTTTCCGTCAGTCTCTTTCCCAGGAAGTTGCATAATTTCAAGACACAGCTTCTCAGGTCCTGAAATGGAACGTGGTTTTAATGTCAGGCCATCCACAATAGAGAAACCTGACAGCCTAGAGACTAAAACTCATGGAATAGGCAGGATTACAAGCAGGGAAAACAAGCAGCCTGCATCTTTCTTTGCCTAGTTTGTAATAACTGCCATTGCATCATATTGCACTTTCATTGTTACGGTACTTTTATTCCATGAGCCATGCAGAATGCACTATATTATGGGGCAGCTCTTTCAACTGAGTCCACAAGTAAATAAATAAATGTCCCTGTTGAAGACACAAGGGACGTTCTGTGACATCTCTACTCAGCATCAGAGGGCCTGTGAAATGATATATCTTGCTTGGGATCATGACACTTTATTTATAGCCCCATAATCCCTCAGGGGAAATGGTTATATGCACTATTTGCTGTCTAGGGTCTGAAAAGCTGCTCCTGAATCCATGGCCTGCTAGGCTTTAAAGAATCTTTAGGAAAGGAAGTGAGACTAGCAGGGGAAGCAGCAGCTGAGGGCACTTGAATAATCAAATTGCTTCCTTCCTCTATTTTGTAAAGGTGAGTTTTGATGGATGTTTAATATCAGACTGGGTAGCATTTTGATAACTTACCTTCTTCATTTCTTCATAGGTAAGAAACAGAATATTGAAGTCATCCTTGTGAGAGTACCAGCCTTCCACATGGTCCAGCCATAAACTTGCAAGTACTGATGGGAAAGAAGTTGATTTGACATAAAATGTAGATCAAGTTTATTTTTTTGAAAAACATTCAGAGAGGAGCAGTACAAACGTATAAATTCCATGAAAACAATTTAAAGGAATCCTTTTAAGAACCAGCAGTGGAACAAACCAATTAAACAGAAGCTTAACTAATACCACCCAACCTCACCAAACACTTTCTCAGAGAAGGAATTTACAGAAGAGTTCTGCATTTTAAGGCTCCCTGATGTGCTTCCAGGCAATGTGATGGAAGAGTGATGGGTGGGCTGAGATCAGTCTAGCCTTCCTCCAGCTCCCTTCCTTCCCACACTGCCAGTTTCCTTATGGTGTGGAAGTTAATTCAACATTTAGAGACACTGTCTGGGTTTCTGAGTTATAACTTGACACAAATATCTACACTTGATTAAGCACCACCTTGTAATGATTTGTAGCTGCTGCATCCTGATGCAGGCAGCATACAAATCCACCTGATTTCCTTTGGGAGTTGGCCAGATCTATACCCTCCCTTCGGCATCAATGCGCACCAGCCATCAGTGGCATAAAATGGTGTAGTTGGAGTCTGAGTTGGAGACTCTTTGTGATGCATGGATGTGGAATTTCCTCAGAGTAACCTATGGCATCAGACATGGCATTCTGAAAATTATCCTTACCACACAGAGAATTTCTTTAGTCTTTTGTGAAAGGTGATAAAGATGAAGGGACAAGAGTGATTCATTTTAGAGTAGCAATTCATCCTTACCCTTCCCAGCCAAAAACCTCTCCATGAAAATTCCAAAATCTTCTACTTCTTCAAATTTGACTGCCATTTTGGAAAAATGGTAAAAGGAAACTGAGACATCCTTTGGGTTTCTGGCCACATAAACAACCTGCAGGAATAACAACAAATTATTTCGATTCCTGGTCTTATTGTTTCTACTGTTTCTTTTGTTTTGCTTCTATAGTTACCGGTATTTCTCTGGTTGTGAAATATGCCAGGAACTAAGTTGTTGAAGTGGGATATATATACATAAAATAATAAATGGATGGATCTCAGATATCTCTTCTTGTGGATTCTTGGTGCTTCCAAGTTGCTTTATAGCCCTGGCAGTCTCACACTCTTTTGCAACATGTATGTCACATGCACAGTGCAATCCTATGGTGTTGAATGAGCTTATTCTTAAGTGTGTTGGATGGTACCCTTGTAACGAATGCCGTGTTCTGAATGGGCCGCCAGATGGCTGAAGACCACCACAGAAAATGGATGCTGTTGAGGAACTATTCATAAATCGTGCTGATCAAAGAGCGAATGGAATGTGCATGTTCTGGCAAAAGTACTGTACCTGCAAGGAAGTGGAAAGACTGGCTGTGCAATGCTAGTTACAAACAATGAATATCGTCTGTGCCAAAAGTTACAGAAGACCAGGCGCAAAGCATGAGAGTTGTGATATGCCAAGAACATGCTAAGGGTGGAGGACTGCCAAGAACATGTCAAAGGCAATGAGAAATGCCAATATTCAGATGAACACCAAAAAGGACTATATAAGATCAGGCTTTTCAGGAGGGTTGGTGTGTCAGACACAGCCAGGATCCCGCTGTCTGCCCACCCAATCCAGAAAAAGAGTGGTGAGTGTATGTGTGATTGTGTGAGTGACTGAGTGCATGTTCCCTTATCTTGTTAAGTGTTCTGCTTGTTACTCAACAAAGCAATGTTATGTAGAAATTCCAATATATTGGTTGTCTGACTGCTTACTTGTGTTCTGCCTGAAGTGCACTGAATCTCAGATAAAAGAACCTGTTTTATTCTTAACACCCTCCAGGACTTTTACTATGGTGGAGCAAAAACTCTGTGCTGTTTAGGAGTCATGGGAATTATTCCAAGCTCAGGGTGCACAGAGCATTATTCCTTCATATGGACAAAGGAATTGCAGCTGGATGAACTGCCCTCAAAAACGGAGAAATGTTAACGGAAACTGAGATGTTCATTTAAAGAAGGCAAGACAAACATTGAATATGATCAAATAATAAATGTGCCGTTTCCTACTTTTGCTCTTCTGTTCCTTAACCCTTTGGGTACTAAATAGTAGGGTAGATGGGAAGCAAAGAGGCGAGGTGATGGACGACTGACGTAATCCACATTGCGGACATTGTACTCCAGCCACGGAGCCCTGTCTAGTAAGTCGACTTTTTCAGTTCCATCTCGGTGACCTTCATGATAAATCAAGCTCAAAATATTTTGAGTCCATATTGTGCCTATAAACGAGATTAAGCATACTTAATTTCATTCATATGGGGACATGGGTGGTGCCGTGGTCTAAACCACAGAGCCTAGGGCATGCCGATCAGAAGGTCACGATTCGAATCCCCACGACGGGGTGAGCTCCCGTTGCTCGGTCCCAGCTCGTGCCCACCTAGCAGTTCAAAAGCACATAAAACTGCAAGTAGATAAATAGGTACCACTCCGACAGGAAAGTAAACGGCATTTCTGTGAGCTGCTCTAGTTTGCCACATGACCCAGAAGCTGTCTGTGGACAAACATCGGCTCCCTCGGCCTATAGAGCTAGATGAGTGCGCAACCCCAGAGTCGTCCGTGACTGGACCTAATGGTCCAGGGATACCTTTACCTTTACTTTAATTTCATTCATTATACTAAGTACATGTACTTTCTGCTTTAAAGAATGAAATAACTGAAAACAGCATGTCTCTGCACCGAAGAGCTTTCTATTTGAATTGCAACACTGAAAAGAAATGAGAGAGAGGAAGGGAATCAACACAGCAAGCAGAGGCAGATTTAGGGACCTGGCTGCACGGGCTGCCAATACTATGATGTCAAATAGAAGGTGAGAGGTGGGGGGCACCAAACTTTGGTGTCACACAGACCACCACTGAAATAGGGGCAGCAAAGGGTGAATGAGGAACATTGACCAAGGATTCCTTTCTATTGTGGATGAAAGAGGGAATTTCAGCTAAAGGCTTCATAGAATTTGAGGATTTGGGAAGACAGAACAAAATTTGCTAATAAGTTCCTTTATTGTTCAGAAAGCTACCAAAAACCTTTTTCCAGATTCTTCCCAGAACATTATACAAATGATATTCAAAGTCCAGGAAATTTAAAAAAAAGTTGTCTGTTCTCCAAAGTGCAGTAGTACCTCGGGTTACATACACTTCAGGTTACAGACGTTTCAGGTTACAGACTCCACTAACACAGAAATAGTCCCTCAGGTTAAGAACTTTGCTTCAGGATGAGAACAGAAATTGGGCAGCGGCAGTGCAGTGGCAGTGGGAGGCCCCATTAGCTAAAGTGGTGCTCCAGGTTAAGAACAGTATCAGGTTAAGAACAGACCTCCGGAACGAATTAAGTTCTTAACCTGAGGTACCACTGTACTTTGATTCAGCAGATTCAAACTATGATTTCTTATCAATGCATTCTAGGAACAGGAATATTGACAAATGGCCAGTGGGACAAACATAATAGGCAAAAGGCAGTTGCAGAATCCTTTCTTCATGTCACCCAAGTCCTAAATGCCTATACAATGCAGAACTTTCCCTCTCTCTCCTCTCCCACTCCCAGTTATTGGGTCTTCCCCACCCCAGCAACCCTCCAAGGCAGATTTGGGGAACACTGGGGACACAAGGGGAGAGAAGAGTGAAGGAAGTTCTGGTGTGGAAGTGGAAGTTATTGAATGGAGGGCACAACTGCATTGGATACGGACCCCCATTATTATTGGCAAAACTGTGGCAGATAAATGCTGAAATAAAGAGTCACAGGAAAGTTCTTAAGAATAGAATTTTACAATCACCATTTTACCACCACATACAAATTCCTGAAAGTCAGTGAATACAATAAACCCTTAGCAAGAAAATTTGAATGTTTTTGATGTGTATTTATGTTGTTTTCAAAACCTCAAACAGGTTGACACTGGTGGCAAACACATTATATCATCTCTTTTTTAAAAACAAAACAGAACATGGCCCAGTTCACCTTTATGTAACCAGTTCACCTTTATTCAACCTACGAAAATGTACTCTTACCTGATTTTGGATAAGTGACTAAAAACACATCACTGTCTCTTATTTCAAAATCCTCCAGGGAATCTAAGTACTCCACTGAAACAATTTCTCGCTGGAAATAACATCCTTTGTATGTGAAAAGGTATTTCTCCTCTGGTTGCATTGCCTGCCTAAGAATAAAGAGAAGAGAATAGTTCTCTCTCTTATACGACAATGGGGAATCACAAAGAAATAGAGGTGTCATTTTGTCAAATCCTACTCTTTTTGCAGACCCCATAGCAGAATCCCATGCTTCTCTTCCATCACAGGTGAGCAACATAAAGGTCCATCATTTAAAGAACAGAGACTTGACCCATCATTGAGGCAACAAAGCATTCTCCCCTCCCCCTGCTTTAAGTGTTTTTTTTAAATGGTGCTGCTTTCAACTCAAAGCTGGCTTTACCCTACACAAGAAGGATTTTCTCTTTCACCCTGACATAGTTATTTCTCAACTGCATATGTGCAGCATGCAAAATAACAGCCCTTGGTCTTACTTTATGCTGCCTGGCGTCATAGTTTGGTCAGTGCTGCTATCCTGACACTCATTCTTGTGCTCAGGGGAGGTGGGAAGGAAGGAAAAACTGCTCCCTGGAAATGGATCCAGGGGAAATGAAAGACGCAATTTGTTGGGAACTCTTGCCCAATCCCTCCTGGGTTCTTGATCAGCTTCAAGAAATTGGGGTGACGTATTTTCCGGGCTTCCTGGGACCAAACCATAGAGGTGCCTGGGGACCACAGGGTGGCAAAGAGAAAGATATTGTTCACTGCCCGTCTGACTTCCATTGCCAGCTCTGGTTGAAACTGCTGCTGAAATGTGGTGCCCAAGGACATTCCATGTAGGGAATGCTGCTCTCAGCTTCATCTATGATAATACAGAGAGTGGACTACACATACAATGGGCCCTATTGGGCAGGCGTTCCCATACTGAGACACCACTGCCAAAATAGCCCTTTCTTTTTTTGTCTCCTCCCTGCGCCAATTTCTCTCCTCCCACGTAGCGTCTGACAAGGAAGGCACTTGCAAGGGTGGGCTCAGTGCATGGTATAAGGAGGCGGGGAATTGTTATGGGAGAAAGTTCAAGGCTCCGTTGGGTGCTGAGGAAACCAAAGTTGTTGCCAGTTGTCGCCAGGTCTTTTATACCTGTTGGGACATTTCAGGCCATAATATATAATATGATGCATGACATCAAGATATACTACCTTGTGATATTATAGATGAATGGGTGTTTTATAAACATTTAAATAAAAATAAAATCCATTGCTTAAAAGGGATAAAGAAATAAAGTGCCATGAAGCCTGAAAATCACTTTAATTCTCTATATAAGTGTTTCATCGCTAAGAAATGCAACAATCGTTTAGTGGAAAACATTGTATGTCCAAAATAGTAACAAGAAACATACTCTGTTTGATTTTCCAATATATAAATTAAGGGTTGTATCCCATGCCGAATGAGCAGGGTTCGACTTGCACAATGGGAGTTCACATTCAGTCCCCTCAAAATAACTATTAATCTCTGGTAGCACAAATGTTGCATTTTGTGTGACACCAGAAAAGAATATGAACTGTGACAAGAGTTTTCATGCATCTGATGAAATACCTTATTGCCCCGCAGAACTCTTGCAAGAAAGAGTAGAGTAGTTGTTTGTCATTCAGTAGTTCTGCTTTTCCCTGTAAAGTTTAATTTACAAGAAAACTTACCTACCTTTTGTTTTTAGAGTTAAAAAGTGTGCAAGAGAGAGGGAGAGACCGATCTCTTCTGTAGTATTTCAGCTTTTCAAGGCTCACGTTCAGAGCTCTCAAGGAAACTGCTTTATAGAATTCTGTTAACTAATAAGAGTTTGATTAAATCGATGGCTCCTCCTTAGTAAATAATTCCTGGCAAGTTATGAAAGAAAAGAACGATAAAACAGGATCATCTAGGCACAAAATGTAAAAAACAACGGGGAAGAACTTGTTTCTTTGCACAAGGAACAGCCAATATCAGCAGTGGTCTTTGCCCGTTTAAGAAATAAATGCAGTATTACATCTGGTCCACTAGTAGAAAATGGGCTCAAATGGTACGAGAGACCTGAGATTCACTAATGTCTATTTGAAGGAGCGTTTCCACCCCCATCTCTCTGCCCGAACACTGAGGTCCAGCGCCAAGGGCCTTCTGGTGGTTCCCTCACTGCAAGAAGTGAGGTTACAGGGAACCAGACAGAGGGCCTTCTCGGTAGTGGTTCCTGCTCTGTGAAATGCCCTCCCAGCAAATGTCAAGGCAATAAACAACTATTTTACTTTTAAAAGTCAACTGAAGGCAGCCCTGTTTAGGGAAGTTTTTAATGTCTGATGCTGTATTATTTTTAATATTCGGTTGGAAGCCACCAAGAGTGCCTGGGGAAACCCAGCCAGATGGGCGGGATATAAATAAATTATTATTATTATTATTATTATTATTATTACTATAAAACTTACTAAATAATTAGCACTGGTTGTTTTAGAAATCTGTCCAAGAAAAGTAGCAACCTTTTTCATTTGCACACAGCATATCTGAGATCAAACATTACTCAAGCCCAAGAATAAACTTTCAAATCAAATATATTGGCAGCAATCGTTCCCACCCTTCAAAGATTTTGAAGGATTTTCAGAGTCCACATCAAGATGAACAGCTCCCAGTCATTTTAGTCAGAATTCCATGAAAGCTATTTCCCAGTACACAATGCCACATGCAGAAATGGCTCGTTTTGTTTTTGTTTATCATCTAAAGCTAATGTTTTCAGGAATACCTTTGCATAGAAAATGCACTTGATGGCTTCCTGTGTTCTCCTTGCTAAGCTGTCCAAATTTATCCTGCAAACCACTTTCAATGTCTTGGGCTTGGGCAGCTCCACAACTTTGTCTATCTCCCGTACCTCAGCTTTCCCCCCACAAAATCACAGGATTTTTTTTATACAGCACCCCTGAGATTGTGAAAGCGCAGTTTATTTTATGGTTGCAGAGTTTTTTATTTCAAATGATGGCAAATGCCAGTTGTGTTTCCTGATAAATCATACTGACTTCATATGTTGGAGTGATAGATGTTTCAAAGCCCATACAAACATTCCTGGCTGATAGATATTGGTTTCCTGGGGTCCTTTATCCATCAGCTTTAGTTGCCAGGCAGACAGTAATAGTACTCCAGAGCAGGCATGGGGAGTAATCTGATTAATGTTTTAATGCAAGTCCACCTAATTTCAACTTCCTGAAACGGTATGTGAACAGAAACACAGCTGCAGTTCATCCATCAAAATTCACACTTCTTCAAATTACGTGATACACCTTTCCAACCAAATAATGTGTGTATATTAGGGGAAAGTGTTTATTATATTATGCCGATAATAGAATGTATATTTTACTGAAAATATTGAGCAAAATTTAGTATATTAACAAAAAATATTGTGTGTATATATTAAGCATCTTTGTATATTTATTTGTATATGAATAGAAATGCACAGTAAAATGCAGACCATTTTTCATGATTTTTTTCTCTTCTTCTGCACAAACTGGTGCAGAAATATGGTGAACCAAAAAGAACAGTGGAAATGTGAGAAACTAAGAGGAAACCCAAACTGATAAGATTCATTCATCCACACCCTTACAACTTAGAGGAGGCAGAGGCAGTTTTTAAATTTGAAAGCAGAGATGGATCCTCCCACGCCTACTGCAAGGAAATTACCTCTTGCCTGATCACAAATGATCACGAATTCATATTGATTTTGTAGGACCATTACAAGGAAATTACTTCTTACCTGTTGTACTTCTACTCAAAGTGCCTTCAAATAATCACAAACATCTCGACCAATTATTTGCAACACATGGACTGACAGATACTACAACATATGCACATCCTGTTCTAGAGAAGGACCTAAGCAAGGAACTCTATTGAGAATACTGCTTGTTTGGTTCCAACACAGCTTTAGATGGACTGCAGCAAAACTCTCGAGATTTGGACAATTGGTACACACATGCAAGACAGAGAAAAGGTTTCTATAAATATTCTCAAGCTGGAAGCAGACTCAGTTCACCACTGATGTTCCAGCAGAACCTGAAGAGGAGCCTTTCCACCTGTTCCTGAAAAACACTGTCAAAGCTTTCAAATTTTTTGCAATGGCCATCATGTTTTCCCAGTCTCCAAGAGTGCCTGGCACTGTGGTGGTCAAATAGATAGTTGTAACGCCAGGTTGTCACAAAATGCCACCCCTAGTTGCTGCAGCAGAATCCGGCACCTTTATTGGGAGGTTCCAAGATCAACATGCACATTCTTTTAGTGTAATGTCTTCCAAATATGGAATAGTCACATACCCTTTTTGAGAGAAAGAGCACTTGGAACGCTGGGGTCTTGCACTGCTCAAAATTGGGGTGGCATGCAACAAGATGGCATAAGCAGTCTTCCTTGACATAGATTGTGGGGGTAGGACGCAGAGGGCTTCTTCACTGCTTTGCTGTCAGCTCCAGTCCAGTCTCTCAGAGGTGGGCAGTGGGGTCAGGCTGGGACTAGTGATGTGCCCCTCTGAGCTCCTGAGACCTTGCCCAGGGCCTGATGTGTTTGATTGCTGCTCTCAGGTCTAGGTTGGACCCTGGGCTAAATATTCCTAGACCTTCAGGACATGGCAAAGTGCAGACTTTTCCCTTCATATGTCCCCTGCCTGGGCCCTGTTCCAAGAATACCTGGGCCCTAAGCTCTCTAAGGAGACAAGCAAGCCAACAAGCATCCCTCCAGGTGGGTTGGGTCTGCAAGGATTTTTGCATGTGTTAGCATCTGTGTGTCCTTGGAGATGGAGGCAGCATTGGCGATGGCTCAGCATCCAATTTACTCTAGTCCTCTCCCCTGAAGGAGAAGGCTTCTTGCTGACTGGAAGAGGCACCAAGGCGGTATCTGGCTTGGAATGTCCAATATCACAGGGGCAGAACATTTTTCTGCCAACCCGCTTGGTGCCTCTCTGTTCTCTAGACTACTGGCCTTCTCCCTGGGCTCAGACGCTTCTTGGGATCCTTATTTCACCACTTGCATCCGGCTAAGACCTTCCCCAGGTTTATTCAGCCCCACCTTCCTGAGCTCCTCCCATTGATCTTCAGGATCCAACCATTCCCTCTGTGATGTCTCCATGGAACTCATGACACCATTTCTTAAGATTTAAAAGTAGCAGTGGGAACTTGTGATCCAGGTTCTATGGCATCCAAAATTTGCTTTAACTCTTTCTCTCTGCTCCATCATCCCGATGGAAATTCCTCCTTTTCAGTCTGACCCATGAAGGAGATTGCGATGGGCATCAAACATACACTGTCCATTTCCCCCACTTCTCCCCACATATTCCCCATGCACCCTCAAAATTGACTCTGAGGGGGTCAGGAGAACCCCAAGAACAGTGCAGAAGGAATGAAGGTGTGGAGGCATTGTGCCAACCAGCAGGCTGGAATGTTTGTCCTGATGGAATGATTGGAAGAGCGTGAAGTTGAATTCCACAAACAACAAATAAATAGATGACATGAGTGAGTGGGATGATTTACATTGCCGTCTGGGCAGAAGCAGAGCTAGTTGCTCTGGCACCCAGGCGCAGGGTGAGCATATCAGGGGGGGCGCCCCCCATGGCAAGCGGTGAGCATCCAGGGGGGCGGCGCAGCAATGTGACCCCCCCTCAGGGATGGGGTGGCCCGCAGCCCGCTTCCTCCGCCAGTGCATCTGGGACACCAATAGTTGGTTAGTTTGCTTATTTTAAGAACATTTTTTAATTAAATTTCAATTATAATAATCCAGTGGTAGCCTCACTGCCAAATTAAAACACAATTACTAATCCCAATAGATATCCTGGGATTCCTTAACATTTGCACATGGGGTCAGAAATTAGGACATGTTGGAATGTAGAAAGAGAAGAAGCGGACAGTACAAATGTAATTTTATTGTGGTTTAAAAAAATTAATGCACATATTTGAACATTAGGAAACTATTAAGCCTCATGAGAGTATTCTGCTAAATCTTATAAATAGGGCTGGATTAAATGCATACAGTGTACTTTATTTCATCCTTCCAGGCTGAAGGCAGACTCATGATTCCTCATGGATGTCCCAGCAGAACTCGATGGGCAGCTTTTCCATTCTCTCCTTAAAAACGCTGTCAAACCTTTCACTTTGTGCGACTGTCATCATGTTCTTCCAGTCTCCAACAGTGCCTGGCCCAGGAAGCAGACAGAAAGAAAGTGCATTGTGGTGGTCAAATAAATATCCATACCTCCAGATATATTCCATCCCTAGATGCAATTGTCAGGTGAATATGTCAGGAATTCTGCAAGCAGCACCAAGTCAGTGTGATCTACCATTAACTTACCTTTGTGAAGAAAACCTCCTATTTAAACAAGGAAAAAACAACAGGGAAAGTACATAATAGAACAACTCTAAAATTAGGAAATAACAGAAACTGAGAGTTTCATGAAGACTGGAAAAATGAAATCACCATTACTTGGTAGCTATCACATATCAGTGTAAATATCAGGTGAATCTGTAGGGGATTCTACAAGCAGCACCAAGTCAGTTTTTTCTACCATTAACTTACCTTTGCGAAGAAAATGTCCTTTGCTGTGGTCCATGCGATCTGGTCGAGTGAACTCATAGTTTGCCCTGGGATCTGCTTTCATTTTATTAAATGTAGCCTGATCCACAACAGCATCCACCTCCTTTTCCGTCAGTCTCTTTCCCAGGAAGTTGCATAATTTCAAGACACAGCTTCTCAGATCCTGAAATGGAACGTGGTTTTAATGTCAGGCCATCCACAATAGAGAAACCTGACAGCCTAGAGACTAAAACTCATGGAATAGGCAGGAATACAAGCAGGGGAAACAAGCAGCCTGCATCTTTATTTGCCTAGTTTGGAATAACTGCCATTGCATCATATTGCACTTTCATTGTTACGGTACTTTTATTCCATGAGCCATGCAGAATGCACTATATTATGGGGCAGCTCTTTCAACTGAGTCCACAAGTAAATAAATAAATGTCCCTGTTGAAGACACAAGGGAGGTTCTGTGACATCTCTACTCAGCAGCAGAGGGCCTGTGAAATGACATATCTTTCTTGGGATCATGACACTTTATTTATAGCCCCATAATCCCTCAGGGGAAATGGTTATATGCACTATTTGCTGTCTAGGGTCCGAAAAGCTGCACCCAAATCCATGGCCTGCTTGGCTTTTAAAAATCTTTAGGAAAGGAAGCGAGACTAGCAGGGGAAGAAGCAGCTGAGGGCACTTGAATAATCAAATTGCTTCCTTCCTCCATTTTGTAAAGGAGTGTTTTGATGGATGTTTAATATCAGACTGGATAGCATTTTGATAACTTACCTTCTTCATTTCCTCATAGGTAAGAAACAGAATATTGAAGTCATCCTTGTGAGAGTACCAGCCTTCCACATGGTCCAGCCATAAACTTGCAAGTACTGATGTGAGAGATGTTGATTTGGCATAAAATGTAGATCAGATTTTATTTAAAAAAAACATTCAGAGAGAAGCAGTACGAACATATAAAGTCCATTAAAACAATTTTAAGGGATCATTTTAATAACCAGCAGTGGTACAAACCATTAAACAGTAGCTGAATTAATACCATCCACCTTCATCAAACACTTTCTCAGAGAAGGAATTTGCAGAAGAGTTCTGCATTTTAAGGCTCCCAGCAGTGCTTCCAAGCAATGTGATGGAAGAGTGATGGGTGGGCTGAGATCAGTCTAGCCTTCCTCCAGCTCACTTCCTTCTCAATCTGGCAGTTTCCTTATATGGTGTGGCATTTAATACTTGCAACATTTAGAGACACTGTCTGGGTTTCTGACTTAACTTGACACAAATCTCTACACTTGATTAAGGATTAGGTGCTCCACCTTGTAATGATTTGTAGCTGCTGCATCCTGATGCAGACAGCATACAAATCCACCTGATTTCCTTTGGGAGTTGGCCAGATCTATACCCTCCCTTCGGCATCAATGGGCACCAGCCATCCGTGGCATAAAATGGTGTAGTTGGAGTCACAGTTGGAGACTCTTTGTGATGCATGGATGTGGGATTTCCTCAGAGTAACCTATAGCATCAGACATGGCATTCTGAAAACAATCCTTACCACACAGAGAATTTCTTTAGTCTTTTGTGAAAGGTGATAAAGATGAAGGGACAAGAGTGATTCATTTTAGAGTAGCAATTCGTCCTTACCCTTCCCAGCCAAAAACCTCTCCATGAAAATTCCAAAATCTTCTACCTCTTCAAATTTGATGATAGTTTTGGAAAAATGGTAAAAGGAAACCAAGACATCCTTTGGGTTTCTGGCCACATAAACAACCTGCAGGAATAACAACAAATTCTTTCGATTCCTAAAATAATAAATGGATCGATCTCAGATATCTCTTGTTGTGGATTCTTGGTGCTTCCAAGTTGCTTTATAGCCCTGGCAGCATCACCCTCTCTTGCAACATGCATGTCACATGCACAGTGCAATCCTATGGTGTCGAATGAGCTTATTCTTATTAAGTCTGTTGGATGGCACCCTTGTAACGAATGCCATTTTTTTCTTTTTTTAAAATACTTTTATTTTGCTTTAAACAAATACATATAAATATAGACAACCAAAATTACAAACGAAAATTACTTAATAATGATAATAATGAAAAAAGCTAAAAAAACTACAAAAAATATCAAAGTACATGGCATAAAACATAAGAAGAAGGATGAGAAAAAAAGGGAAAGGGAAAGGGAAAGGGAAAGGAAGAAGAAGAAGAAGAAGAAGAAGAAGAAGAAGAAGAAGAAGAAGGAGGAGAGAGGAGGAGGAGGAGGAGGAGGAGGAAGAGGAAGAAGAGCCAGAACACAGGAAGGCTCATCTACTGTACGCTTCCATCAAGGTCACAACAGATCATTATTCTTATCAATTCTCTCTATCTGCATTCCAAGGAATCCCTCATCTTGGTATCAGGGAACATTTCTCTATGATGTATCATTCTAAACATAACCAGGTCTTTCTTGTTGAACCCTTATCCCCTAGATCATTATTTATACATTCCCATTCTTCTTTCATCATCTTTTTAGGTTTATCTCGTAGTGCGTCTGTCAGCTTTGCGAGCTCCAAGTACTCGCACAACGAATGCCATGTTTCGAATGGGCTGCAAGATGCCTGAAGACCACCACATAAAATGGATGCTGTTGATGAACTATTAATAAATTGTGCTGATCAAAGAGCGAATGGAATGTGCATGTTCTGGTAAAAGTACTGTACCTGCAAGGAAGTGGAAAGACTGGATGTGCAATGCTAGTTACAATCAATGAGTATCGTCTTGTGCCAAAAGTTACAGAAGACCAGGTGCAAACCATGAGAGTTGTAATATGCCAAGAACATGCTAAGGGTGGAGGACTGCCAAGAACATGTCAAAGGCAATGAGAAATGCCAATATTCAGATGTGCATCAAAAAGGACTATATAAGATCAGGCTTTTCAAGAGGGTTGGTGTGTCAGATGCAGCCAGGATCCCGCTGTCTGCCCACCCAATCCAGAAGAAGAGTGGTGAGTGTATGTGTGATTGTGTGAGAGACTGAGTGCATGTTCCCTTATCTTGTTACGTGTTCTGCTTGCTAATCAATAAAGCAATGTTATGTAGAAATTCCAATATATTGGTTGTCTGACTGCTTACTTGTGCCTGAAGTGCACTGAATCTCAGATAAAAGAACCTGTTTTATTCTTAACACCCTCCAGGACTTTTACTATGGTGGAGCATAAACTCTGTGCTGTTTAGGAGTCATGGGAATTATTCTAAGCTCAGGGTGCACAGAGCATTATTCATTCATATGGACAAAGGAATTGCAGCTGGATGAACTTCCCTCAAAATCAGAGAAATGTTAATGGAAACTGAGATGTTCATTCAAATAAGGCAAGACAAACATTTAATATGATCAAATAATAAATGTGCTGTTTCCTACTTTTGCTCTTCTGTTCCTTAATTCTTTGGGTACTAAATAGTAGGGTAGATGGGAAGAAAAGAGGCGAGGTGATGGACGACTGACGTAATCCACATTGCGGATATTGTACTCCAGCCACGGAGCCCTGTCTAGTAAGTCGACTTTTTCGGTTCCATCTCGGTGACCTTCATGATAAATCAAGCTCAAAATATTTTGGGTCCATATTGTGCCTATAAACGAGAATAAGTTTACTTAATTTCATTTATATGGGGATGCAGGTGGCACTGCGGTCTAAACCACAGAGCCTAGGGCTTGCTGATCAGAAGGTCGTGGTTCGAATCCCCGCGACGGGTCCCTGCTCCTGCCCACCTAGCAGTTCAAAAGCACATCAAAGTGCAAGTAGATAAATAGGTACTGCTCCGACAGAAAAGTAACCGGCATTTCTTTGAGCCGCTCTGGTTTGCCAGAAGTGGCTTCGTCTTGCTGGACACATGACTCGGAAGCTGTCTGCGGATAAACACCGGCTCCCTCGGCCTATAGAGCGAGATGAGCACAAAGCCCCAGAGTCATCCACGACTGGACCTAACGGTCGGGGGTACCTTTACCCTTTACTTTAATTTCATTCATTGCCATGAATGTACTTAGTGCTTTAAAGAGAATAACTGAAAACAACATGTCTCTGCATCGTGGAGCTTACTATCTGAATTGCAACACTGAAAAGAAATGAGAGAGAGGAAGGGAATCAACACAGCAAGCAGAGGCAGATTTAGGGACCTGGCTACACAGGTTGCCAACACTATGATGTCAAATAGAAGGTGAGAGGTGGGGGGCACCAAATTTTGGTGTCACACAGACCACCACTGAAATAGGGGCAGCAAATGGTGAATGAGGAACATTGACCAAGGCTTCCTTTCCATTGTGGATGAGAAATGCGAAGTTCAACTAAAGGTTTCACAGAATTTGAGGATTTGGGAAGACAGAACAATATTTGCTAATAAGTTCCTTTATTGTTCAGAAAGCTACCAAAAACTCTATTCCAGATTCTTCACAGCACATTATACAAATGATAGACAAAGTCCAGGGAATAAAGAAAACATTGTCTGATTCTCCAAAGTACTTTGATTCAGCACATTCAAACTATGATTTTTTTATCAATGTATTCCAGAAAAAGGAATGTTGACAAATGGCCAGTGAGACAAACATAATAGGCAAAAGGCAGTTGCAGAAGCCTTTCTTCATGTGACCCAAGTCCTAAATGCCTATACAATGCAGAACTTTCCCTCTCTCTCCTCTTCAATCTCGGTTATTGGGTCTTCCCCACCCCACCAACCCTCCAAGGCAGATTTGGGGGACACAAGGGGAGAGAAGAGTGAAGGAAGTTCTGGTGTGGAAGTGGAAGTTATTGTATGTAGGGCACAACTGCATTGGATACAGACCCCTGTTATTATTGGCAAAACTGTGGCAGATAAATGCTGAAATAAAGAGACACAGTATGAAAGTTCTTAAGAATAGAATTTTACAACCACCATTTTACCACCACATACAAAATCCTGAAAGTCAGTGAATACAATAAACCCTTAGCAAGCACATTTGAATGTTTTTGATGTGTATTTATGTTGTTTTCAAAACCTCATACAGGTTGACACTGGTGGAAAACATATTACTCCATCTTAAAAATAATAATTGCCCAGTTCACCTTTATGTAACCAGGTAAGTACCATACTACCAGTATTCACTTCACCTTGCATGTAGGTTTTAAACTTGCCTTAGGAAAATACAGATACTATGTAGATATATGTGGGTATCCAACAGGGTTGAATTGAAATGATGGTTCAACCTACGAAAAGGTACTCTTACCTGATTTTGGATAAGTGACTATAAATACATCACTGTCTCTTATTTCAAAACCCTCCAGGGAATCTAAGTGCTCCACTGAAGTAAATACTGGATGGAAATAAAATCCTTTGTATGTGAAAAGGTATTTCTCGCCTGGTTGCATTGCCTGTCTAAGAATAAAGAGAAGAGAATAGTTCCCTCTATTATACGACACTGGGAAAACGCAAAGAAATAGAGGTGTCATTTTGTCAAATCCTACTCTTTTTGCAGACCCCATAGCAGAATCCCATGCTTCTCTTCCATCACAGGTGAGCAACATAAAGGCCCATCATTTAAAGAACAGAGACTTGACCCATCAATGAGGCAACAAAGCATCCCCCCCCCCGCTTTAAGTGTTTTTTAAAATGGTGCTGCTTTCAACTCAAAGCTGGCTTTGCCACACACAATAAGGCTTTTCTCTCTCACCCTGACATAGTTATTTCTCAAGTGCATGTGTGCAGCATGCAAAATAGCAGCCCTTGGCCTCACTTTATGCTGCCTGGCATCATAGTTTGATCAGTGTTGCTATTCTGACACTCATTCTAGTACTCAAGGGAGGTGGGAAGGAAGCAAAAAACTGCTCCCTGGAAATGGATCCATGGGAAATGAAAGATGGAATCTGTTGGGAACTCTTGCCATTTCTTCCTGGGTTCTTGATCAGCTTCAGGAAATTGGGGTGGACGTATTTTCTGGCCTTCCTGGGACCAAACCATAGATGTGCCTGGGGACCACAGGGTGGCAAAGAGAAAGGTATTCTTCACCGCCCATTTGGCTTCCATTGCCAGCTCTGGCTGAAACTGCTGCTGAAATGTGGTGCCCAAGGACGTTCCATGTAGGGAATGCTGCCCTCAGCTTCATCTATGATAATACAGAGAGTGGACTACACATACAATGGGCCCTATTGGGCAGGTGTTCCCATACTGAGACACCACTGCCAAAATAGCCCTTACTTTTTTTGTCTCCTCCCTGCTCCAATTTCTCTCCTCCCACGTAGCGTCTGACAAAGAAGGCACTTGCAAGCGTAGGCTCAGTGCATGGTATAAGGAGGCGGGGAATTGTTATGGGAGAAAGTTCAAGGCTCCGTTGGGTGCTGAGGAAACCAAAGTTGCGCCAGTTGTCGCCAGGTCTTTTATACCTGTTGGGACATTTCAGGCCATAATATATAATATGATGCATGACATCAAGATATACCACCTTGTGATATTATAGATGAATGGGTGTTTTATAAATATTTAAATAAAAATAAAATCCATTGCTTAAAAGGGATGAAGAAATAAAGTGCCATGAAGCCTGAAAATCACTTTAATTCTGTATATAAGTCTTGTGTTTCATCGCTAAGAAATGCAACAATTGTTTAGTGGAAAACATTGTATGTACAAAATATATTTTCCAATATATAAATTAAGGGTTGTATCCCATGCCGAATGAGCAGGGTTCCACTTGCACAATGGTAGTTCACATTCAGTCCCCTCAAAATAACTATTAATCTGTGGTAGCACAAATGTTGCATTCTGTGTGACACCATAAAAGAATATGAACTCTGACAAGAGTTTTCATGCATCCGATGAAATACCTTATTGCCCCTCAGAACTCTTGCAAGAAAGAGTAGAGTAGTTGTTTGTCATTCAGTAGTCCTGCTTTTCCCTGGAAAGTTTCATTTACAAGAAAACTTACCTACCTTTTGTTTTTACAGTCAAAAAGTGTGGGAGAGAGGGGGAGAGACCGATCTCTTCTGTAGCTTGGAGTATTTCAGCTTTTGAAGGCTCACATTCAGAGCTCTCAAGGAAACTTCTTTATAGAATTCTGTTAACTAATAAGAGTTAGGTTAAATCGATGGCTCCTCCTTAGTAAATCATTCTTGGCAAGTTACGCAAGAAAAGAACGGTAACACAGGAGCATCGAGGCACATAATCTAAAGAACAACAGGGGAAGAACTTGTTTCTTTGCACAAGGAACAGCCAAGATCAACAGTGGTCTTTGCCCGTTTAAGAAATAAATGCAGTATTACGTCTGGTCCACTAGTAGAAAATGGGCTCAAATGGTAAGAGAGACCTGAGATTCACCAATGGATGTCTATTTGTACACACATGCCTGCACTGACTTACACCCCAATAACACCAACTTAATCCCTTTTTGTTTTAATCCAGAATGAGGCAGCTAGACTGGTGACTGGGAGTAGCCGCCGAGACCATATAACACCGGTCCTGAAAGATCTTAAATGGCTCCCAGTATGTTTCCGAGCACAATTCAAATTGTTGATGCTGACCTTTAAAGCCCTAAACGACCTCAGTCCTGTATACTTGAAGGAACGTTTCCACCCCCATCGTTCTGCCCGGACACTGAGGTCCAGCGCTGAGGGCCATCTGGCGGTTCCCTCGCTGCAAGAAGTGAGGTTACAGGGAACCAGACAGAGGGCCTTCTCGGTAGTGGTTCCTGCCCTGTGGAATGCCCTCCCAGCAGTTGTCAAAGCAATAAACAACTATTTTACTTTTAAAAGTCAACTGAAGGTGGCCCTGTTTAGGGAAGTTTTTAATGTCTGATGCTGTATTATTTTTAATATTCGTTTGGAAGCCACACAGATGGGCGGGATATAAATAAATTATTATTATTATTATTATTATTATTATTATTATTATTATTATTATCATCATCATTATAAAACTTACTAAATAATTAGCACTGGTTGTTTTAGAAATCTGTCCAAGAAAAGTAGCAACCTTTTTCATTTGCACACAGCATATCTGAGATCAAATATTACTCAAGCCCAAGAATAAACTTTCAAATCCAATATATTGGCAGCAATAATTCCCACCCTTCAAAGATTTTGAGGAATTTTCAGAGTCCACATCAAGATGGACAGCTCCCAGTCATTATAGTCAGAGTTCCATGAAAGCTATTTCCCAGTAAACAATGCCACATGCAGAAATGGCTCATTTTGTTTATCATCTAAAGCTAATGTTTTCAGGAATACCTTTGCATAGAAAATGCACTTGATGGCTTCCTGTGTTCTCCTTACTAAGCTGTTCAAATTTATCCTGCAAACCGCTTTCAATGTCTTGGGCTTGGGCAGCTCCACAACTTTGTCTACCTCCCATACCTCAGCTTTCCCCCCACAAACTCACAGGGTGTGTTTTTTATACAACACCCCTGAGGTTCTGAAAGCGCCGGGCTCTACTAGGGGCGCCATGGAAGATGGCCGGCAATACCATCTCTCCAGCTCACACGAGGTAATTAAGGGATTGAGATGGGAGTCATCAGCCTCCCAGGTTTCTTCCCAGTGGAAGGGAAGATGCAGTCTCATCTGCAGCTGCCCACAAACCACCCCCGAGTTCGAAAAGAAGGAGGGGGTGGGGGCACTGGATGGAAAGCCCTCGAGTGAGCTCGGATCTCCTGGACACTGTCTTCATGAGCACTCCAAGTTCCATTTCTTAAGATAAAAGATTGGATAAGATTTATGGACATGCTTCGAGCGAAGAAAGGGTATTTTATCTGCTTATTAAGCCAGCCACTGAGATGCTAAGAGTGACGGATTGGAATAAAGATAACATCAAAGAACAACAGCTAAGCCGGTTTGTTTTCTTACTACGATACTACCTAACAACACCCCCCCCCAGAAGAACCGTCTTTTACTACTTATAGCAAGTGAGATTGGAAAACATAAACTGTGTGGAAATAATAATATTAAGTAAAGCCTTTGTTTTTTGAAATATTTGGAAGAAGATAAAAGACTTTCTTGTGACGCACTACTTAATCAGGATCCGCCATTACGAGACAGACTGCGCTGCAGAGATTAATAGTCATAGGGGGAGGCGAGCTCTTACTTTGTTATTATATCTGCGTCTCAAGTTCGATTTGGCAAATCTTCCCTGGAAAGAAAAATGTTTGCTGCAACCTGTCTGAGAAAATCAATGAGCAAACGCCTAGATTCTATTTCATCAGAACTGAGGTAAGATGGCGTCTGCCACCCGAGAAGGACTTTTGGATGGATTCGGCATAAATAGTAGCGCGTGAGGACATACTGCAAATAAAAGACTTACCAGCTGCAAAAAAAAGGGGGGGAGAGTCATACAAAGTTCACACAGAAGTATAATATTGATCATTTCAGCTCGCCTGTGGAAACAACTCAGAGGCTATGAAAGAAGAAGGATAATAACAAGAAGATTTAAAGAAGGGACTAGTGGACACTCAAAGAAGTAGAAATATGAGATGATTGGACCCTACTGAACTTGAAGCATGGGAACCCCCAACAAAAAAATTATAATTTGGCAAAATATTTGGACTTTATGATATATATTTGTATAATTTGGAATATTTAATGTGATTTGATTGGATTGTTAAAATGGAAAACTTAATAAAAATTTTTTAAAAAAAGAGAGATTGTGAAAGCACAGTTTATTTTATGGTTGCAGGGTTTTTTATTTCAAATGATGGCAAATCTCAGCTGTGTTTCCTGATAAATGATACTGACTTCATATGTTGGAGTGATAGATGTTTCAAAGCCCATACAAACATTCCTGGCCGATAGATATTGGTTTCCTGATGTCCTTTATCCATCAGCTTTAGTTGCCACGCAGACAGTAATAATACTCCAGAGCAGGCATGGGGAGTCATCTGATTAATGCTTTAATGCAAGTCCACCTAATTTCAACTTCCTGAAACGGTATGTGAACAGAAACACAGCTGCAGTTCATCCATCAAAATTCACACATCTTCAGATTACGTGATACACCTTTCCAACCAAATAATGTGTGTATTTTACGGGAAAGTGTTTATGATATTATGCCGATAACAAAATGTATATTTTACTGAAAATATCATGCAAAATTTAGTATATTAACAAAAATATTGTGTGTATATATTAATCTTTGTATTAAGCATTATTTGTATATCAACAGAAATGTACACTAAAATGCAGACAAATTTTCATGATTTTTTTCTCTTCTTCTGCACAAACTGGTACAGAAATATGGTGAACCAAAAAGAACACAGGAAATGTGAGAAACTAAGAGGAAACCCAAACAGATAAGATTCACTCATCCACACCCTTAAAAACTAGAAGAGGCAGAGGCAGTTTTTATATTTGAAAGCAGAGATGGATCCTCCCACGCCTACTGCAAGGAAATTACTTCTTGCCTGATCACGAATGATCACGAATTCATATTGATTTTGTAGGACCATTATAAGGAAATTACTTCTTGCCTGTTGTTCTTCCACTCAAAATGCCTTCAAATAATCACAAACATCTGTTCCAACAATCACAGCTCTCAACCAATTATTTGCAACACATGGACTGACAGATACTACAAGATATGCACATCCTATTCTAGAGAAGGACCTGAGCAAGCAACTCCATTCAGAATACTGTTTGCTTGGTTCCAACACAGCTTTAGATGGACTGCAGCAAATCTCTCGAAATTTGGACAATTGGTACACACATGCAAGTCAGAAAAAAAGTTTGTATAAATATTCTCAAGCTGGAATCAGACTCAGTTCACCATTGATGTTCCAGCAGAACCTGAAGAGGAGCCTTTCCAACTGCTCCTGAAAAACACTCTCAAAGCTTTCAATTTTTTGCAATGGCCATCATGTTTTCCCAGTCTCCAAGAGTGCCTGGCACTGTGGTGGTCAAATAGATAGTTGTAACGCCAGGTTGTCACAAAATGCCACCCCTAGTTGCTGCAGCAGAATCCGGCACCTTTATTGGGAGGTTCCAAGATCAACATGCACATTCTTTTAGTGTAATGTCTCCCAAACATGGAATAGTCACATACCCTTTTTGAGAGAAAGAGCACTTGGAACCCAGGGAATCTTGCACTGCTCAAAATTGGGGTGGCATGCAACAAGATGGCATAAGCAGTCTTTCTTGACATAGATTGTGGGGGTAGGATGCAGAGGGCTTCTTCACTGCTTTGCTGTCAGCTCCAGCCCAGTCTCTCAGAGGTGGGCAATGGGGTCAGGCTGGGACTAGTGATGTGCCCCTCTGAGCTCCTGAGACCTTGCCTAAGGCCTGATGTGTTTGATCGCTGCTCTCAGGTCTAAGTTTTCCTAGACCTTCAGGACGTGGCAAAGTGCAGCCTTTTCCCTTCATATGTCCAATGCCTGGGCCCTGTTCCAAGAATACCTCGGCCCTAAGCTCTCTAAGGAGACCAGCAAGCAAACAAGCATCCCTCCAGGTGGGTTGGGTCTGCAAGGATTTTTGCATGTGTTAGCATCTGTGTGTCCTTGGAGATGGAGGCAGCATTGGCAATGGCTCAGCATCCAATTTACTCTAGTCCTCTCTCCTGAAGGAGAAGGCTTCTTGCTGACTGCAAGAGGCATCAAGGTTGTTCCACAGCAGGATTGTTCTCTAGACTACTGGCCTTCTCCCTGGGCGAGCGGTGAGCTTCCGGGGGGGCCACACAGTAATGTGACCCCCCCCTCAGTAATGACACCCGGGGTGGTCTGCACCCCGCCTCCTGCACCAGTGCATCTGGGACACCAATAGTTGGTTAGTTTGCTTATTTTAGCAATATTTTTTATTAAATTTCAATTACAATAATCCAATAGTAGCCTCATTATAACATTGCCAAATTAAAACACAATTACTAATCCCAATAGATATTATTCCTTAACTTTTGCACATGGGGTCAGAAATTAGGACATATTGGAATGTAGAAAGAGAAAAAGTGGGCAGTACAAATGTAATTTTATTGTGTGTGTTTAAAAAAAATATTGCTCATATTCGAACTTTAGGAAGCTATTAACCCATCCATATGAAAGTTTTTTTGGGGTTTTTTTGCTAACTCTTACAAATAGGCCTGGATTAAATTCATACAGTGCACTTTATTTCATCCTTCCAAGCTAAAGGTAGACTCATGATTCCTCATTGATGTCCCAGCAGAACTTGAAGGGCAGCTTTTCCATTCTCTTCTTAAAAACACTGTCAAATCTTTCACTTTGTGCGACTGTCATCATGTTCTTCCAGTCTCCAACAGTGCCTGGCCCAGGAAGCAGACAGAAAGAAAGGGCATTGTGGTGGTCAAATAAATATCCATAACTCCAGATATATTGCATCCCTAGCAGGGTAGATGTCCCTCAGTGTGAAAAAATGTCCACACTCTAGATTGGAAAGACAAATATGCCACCCTTAAATATACATATGTAGAAGAAGGGGGAAAACAGGGAAAGTACATAATAGAACAACTCTAAAATTAGGAAACACCAGAAACTGAGAGTTTCATGAAGACTGGAAAAATGAAATCACCATCTCTTGGTGCCTATCAAAGGTTTGAGATTTTGCAAGCACCGACAATTCAGTTGGACTGCCACTGACTTACCTTTGCGAAGAAAAGGTCCTTTGCTGTGGTCCAGGATATCCAGTGGCATGAACTCATAATTTGCCCTGGGATCTGCTTTCATTTTATTAAATGTAGCCTGATCCACAACAGCATCCACCTCCTTTTCCGTCAGTCTCTTTCCCAGGAAGTTGCATAGTTTCAATACAGAGCTTTTTAGATCCTGAAATGGAACGTGGTTTTAATGCCAGGCCATTTACAATAGAGAAACCCGACAGCCTAGAGACTAAAACTCATGGAATAGGCAGGAATAAAAGCAAGGGAAACAAGCAGCCTGCATGTTTCTTTGCCTAGTTTGTAATAATTGCCATTGCATTATATTATATTATATTATATTATATTACACTTTCATTGTTGCTTTAATTCCATGTGCCATGCAGAATGCACTATATTATGGGGCAGCTCTTTCAACTGAGTCCACAAGTAAATAAATAAATGCCCCTGTTGCAGACACAAGGGAGGTTCTGTGACATCTTTCCTAAGCATCAGAGGGCCTGTGAAATGAAATATCTTGCTTGGGATCACGACACTTTATTTATAGTGTGGGGAAATAGTTACAGAACAATATTCACAGTCTAGGGTCTGTAAAGGTGCTCCTAATTCCATGGCCCACTAATCTTTTTAAAAAAAAACTTTAGAAAGGAAATTAAACTAGCAAGAGGGCACTTAAACGATCATATTGCTTCCTTCCTCCATTTCGTAAAGGAGAGTTTTGATGGATGATTAATATCAGACTGTATAGCATTTTGATAACTTACCTTCTTCATTTCTTCATAGGTAAGAAATAGAATATTGAAGTCATCCTTGTGAGTGTACCAGCCTTCCACATGGTCCAACCATGAACTTGCAAGTACTGATGAGAAAGAAGTTGAGTTGGAATAAAATGTAGATCAGGTGATTTTTTTAAAAAAAACATTCAGAGAGGAGCAGTACAAACGTATAAACACCATCAAAACGATTTAAAGGAATCCTTTTAAGAACCAGCAGTGGAACAAACCATTAAACAGAAGCTGAACTAATACCACCCAACCTCACCAAACACTTTCTCAGAGAAAGAATTTGCAGAGGAGTTCTGTATTTTAAGGCTCCCTGCTGTGCTTCCCATCTCAGTGTGATGAGAGAGTGATGGGTGGGCTGAGATCAGTCTAGCCTTCCTCCAGCCCCCTTCCTTCCCACACTGCCAGTTTCCTTATATGGTGTGGCAGTTAATACTTGCAACATTTAAGAGACCGTGTCAGGGTTTCTTAGTTATTACTTGACACAAATCTCTACACTTGATTAAGGATTAGGGGCTGCACCTTGTAATAATTTGTAGCTGCTGCATCCTGATGCAAAGAGAATATAAATCCACCTGATTTCCTTTGGGCGTTGGCTAGATCTATTCCCTACCTTCTGCATCAATGGACACTAGTCATCAGTGGCATAAAATGGTGTAGTTGGAGTCTCAGTTGGAGACTCTTTGTGATGCATGGATGTGGAATTTCCTCAGAGTAACCTATGGCATCAGACATGGCGTTGTGAAAACGTTCCTTACCACAAAGAGAATTTCTTTAATGTGTTGTCAAAGGAGGATAAAGATGAAGGGACAAAAGTGATTCATTTTAGAATAGCAAATCTTCCTTACCTTTTCCAGCCAAAAACCTCTCCATGAAAATTCCAAAATCTTCTACCTCTTCAAATTTGACTGCCATTTTGGAAAAATGGTAAAAGGAAACCATGACATCCTTTGGGTTTCTGGCCACATAAACAACCTGCAGGAATAACAACAAATTCTATTCTATTGCTGATCTTATTGTTTCTACTGTCTCTTTTGTTTTGCTTCTGTAGTTATTTCTGTGGTTGTGAAATGTGTCTGGACCCAAGTTGTTGAAGAGGGATATATATGCCTAAAATAATAAATGGATGGATCTCAGATATCTCTTCTTGTGGATTCTTGGTGCTTCCAAGTTGCTTTATAGCCCTGGCAGCCTCATACTCTTTTGGAACATGGATGTCACATGCACAGAGCAATCCTATGGTGTTGAATGAACTTATTCTCATTAAGTGTGTTGGATGGCATCCTCCAAGACCTTTACTAAGATGGAGCATAAAATCTTTGCTGTTTAGGAGTCATGGGAATTATTCTAAGCTCAGGGTGCACAGAGCATTATTCATTCATATGGAGAAAGGAATTGCACCTGGATGAACTGCCCTCAAAAACGGAGAAATGTTAACAGAATCTGAGATGTTCATTTAAAGAAGGCAAGACAAACATTTAATATGATCAAATAATAAATGTGCTGTTTCCTACTTTTGCTCTTCTGTTCCTTAATCCTTTGGGTACTAAATAGTATGGTAGATGGGAAGCAAAGAGGCGAGGTGATGGGCGACTGACATAATCCACATTGCGGATATTGTATTCCAGCCACGGAGCCCTGTCTAGTAAGTCGACTTTTTCGGTTCCATCTCGATGACCTTCATGATAAATCAAGCTCAAAATATTTTGGGTCCATATTGTGCCTATAAACGAGAATAAGCCTATTTCATTCTTTCATTGTCATGAATGTGCTTAGTACTTTACAGAGTGAAATAACTGAGAACAACATGTCTCAGCATCGAGGAGCTTACTGTTGAATTGCAACACTGTTAAAGACAAGAAATGAGGGAGAGGAAGGAAGTCATGGGAAACACAGCAAGCAGAGGCAGATTTAAGGATCTGGCTGCACAGGTTGCCACCACTATGATATAAAATAGAAAGTGGGAGGTGGGAGGTGGGGGGCACTAAAGTTTGGTGTCACACAGACCACACAATAAGGGCAGCAATGGGTGATTGAGGAAGATTGACCAAGGCTTCCTTTCCATTTTGGATGAGAAAGGCAAAGTTCAGCTAAAGGCTTCATAGAATTTGAGGATTTGGGAAGATAGAACAAAACTGGCAAATAAGTTCCCTTAATTTTCAGAAAGCTACCGAAAGCTCTATTCCAGATTCTTCACAGCACATTATACAAATGATTGTCAAAGTCCAGGGAATAATAATAATAAAAAGGTTGTCTGGTTCTCCAAAATACTCCAAAGAAGAGTGAAGGAAATTCTGGTGGGGAACTGGAAGTTATTGCATGTGGGGCACAACTGCATTGGATACGACCCCCCTGATACTGGCAAAGTTGTGGCAGATAAGTGCTGAAATAAAGAGACACAGTATGAAAGCTTTTTAAGAATAGAATTTTACAAACACTGTTTTACAACCACATACAAAATCCTGAAAGTCAATAAATACAATAAACCCTTAGCAAGCAAATTTGAATGTTTTTGATGTGTATTTATGTTGTTTTTAAAACCTCAAACAGGTTGACACCGGTGGAAAACACATTATTTCCTATTTTTAAAAAAACAAACAAACATGACCCGGTTCTCCTTTATGTAACCAGGTAAGTTCTACACTACCCATATTCACCTCAATTTTGCATTTGGTTTTAAACTCGCCTTAGTATAATATGGATACTATTTACATATATGTGGGAATCCATCATGGTTGAATAGCAATCATAGTTCGTCCTATGAAAATGCACTCTTACCTGACTTTGGATAAGTGACTAAAAATACATCACTGTCTCTTATTTCAAAATCCTCCAGGGTATCCAAGTACTCCACTGAAACCAAATCTGGCTGGAAATAAAATCCTTTGTATGTGAAAACATATTTTTCATCTGGTTCCATTGCCTGTATAAGAATAAAGAGAAGAGAACAGTTACCTCTATTATGCAACAACAGGAAATCACAAAGAAATAGAGTTGTCATTTTGTGAAATCCTACTCTTTTTGCAGACCCCATAGCAGAATCCCATGCTTCTCTTCCATCACAGGTGAGCAACATAAAGGTCCATCATTTACACCTTAGAACAGAGACTTGGCTCATCACTGAGGCAACAAAGCATTCTTTTCCTCCTACTTTATGTCTGTTTTTGTTAATGGTGTTGCTTTCAACTCAAAGCTGGCTTCCCCCTGCACAATAAAGCTTTTCTCTTTCACCCTGACACAGTTATTTCTCAAGTGCATGTGTGCAGCATGCAAAATAGCAGCCCTTGGCCTCACTTTATGCTGCCTGGCATCATAGTTTGGTCAGTGCTGCTATCCTGACACTCATTCTTGTACTCAGGGAAGGTGGGAAGGAAGCAAAAAACAGCTCCCTGTAAATGGATCCAGGGGAAATGAAAGACTGAAGTCTGTTGGGAACTCTTGCTAATTCCTCCTGAGTTCTTGATCCGCTTCAAGAAATTGGGATGACATATTTTCTTGCCTGCCTGGGGCAAAACCAGTTTTCCTTTCAGTGTTAGCCTTTGACTGTTCCTGGGGTCATAGGAGAGATTGTTTCTGTTCTACTCTCTCGACGACAGACAGTGCATGCATGTGTGTTTGCAAAATGAGTGGATGCTGGATGAAGGGGGCACATGGCTCTGTGTATGTTTGAGGTTGAATGGATGTCGAAGAGGGGAAAGAGAGACAGGGTGGTAAAGAGAAAGATATTGCTCAATGCCCATTTGGCTTCCATTGCCAGCTCTGACTGAAACTGCTGCTGAAATGTGGTGCCCAAGGACATTCCATGGAGGGAATGCTGCCCTCAGCTTCATCTATGATAATACAGAGAGTGGACTACACATACAATGGGCCCTATTGGGCAGGCGTTCCAGTACTAAGACAACCACTGCCAAAATAGCCCTTTCTTTTTTTGTCTCCTCCCTACGCCAATTTCTCTCCTCTGAGGAAACCAAAGTTGTCGCCAGTGTGTTGCTTGTCTTTTATACCTGTTTGAACATTTCAGTTCATAATATATAATATGATGCACCAAATCGAGATATAACACCTTGTGATATTTTAGATGAAAGGATGGCTTATAAAGTAAATAAAAGAAATAACAATAGTCAGTGCTTATAATTGATAAAGAAATAAAGTGCCATGAAGCTTGAAAATCACTTTAATTCTCTATATAAGTCTTGTGTGTCATCGCTAAGAAATGCAACAATCTTTAGTGGAAAACATTATATGTACAAAATAGTAACAAGAAAAATACTCTGGTTGATTTTCCAATATATAAATGAGCAGGGTTCTGCTTGCACAATTGGAGTTCACATTCAGTCCCCTTAAAAAAACTTTTAATCTCTGGTAGCACAAGTGGTGCACTCTGTGTGACACCAGAAAAGAATATGAACTGTGACAAGAGTTTTCATGCCCTTGTTGCCCCTCGGGACTCATGCAAGAAAGAGTAGATGAGTTGTTTGTCATTCAGTAGTCCTGCTTTTCCCTGGAAAGTTTAAATTACAAGAAAACTTACCTACCTTTTGTTTTTAGAGTCGAAAAGTGTGGGAGGGAGAGAGTGATCTCTTTTGCAGCTTGGAGTATTTCAGCTTTTCAAGGCTCAAGTTCAGAGCTCTGTAGGAGATTGCTTAATAGAATTCTGTTAGATAATAAGGGTTGGATTAAGCCGATGGCTCCTCCTTAGTAAATCATTCCTGGCTTGTTATGTAAGAAAAGAAAGGTAACACAGGAGTATCGAGGCTGATAATGTAAAGAATAACAGGGGGAGAACTTGTTTCTTTGCACAAGCAACAGTCCATATCATCAGTGGTCTTCGTCCATTTAAGATATAAATGCAGTATTACGTCTACTCTGGTCCACTAGTAGAAAATGGGCTCAAATGGTAAGAGAGACCTGAGATTGACCAATGGATGTCTATTTGTACACACATGCCTGCACTGACCTACAACCCAATAACACCAACTTTAACTCCAAAATAGTCCCTATTTGTTTTAATAAAACTTACTAAATAATTAGCACTGGTTGTTTTAGAAAAGTAGAAACCTTTTTCATTTGCACACAGCTTATCTGAGATCAAACATGACTCATGTCCAAGAATAAACTTTCAGATCCAACAGATTGGCAGCAATCTTGTTCCGGAGGCGGCGCGAAACAGCAATGGCGGTCCTCTTCGACCTCTGAAGAGGGGCTCCGCGGAAAAGGGACGTACGCTGCGGCACAGCGACGACCCATTAAGAAGAACCACGGGTAGAGTGAGCCCGTGGCCGTGGGACCCGGCGGGCACCAGGAGCGACCCCAGAAGCGGGGAAGGAGCCTCGTAAGAGGCTCCGGAACGTGAAAGGGGAAGCGGTGCTGTGGGTTCATCGCTCTTTCCGCGGATGCAAAGCCGCGCGGCTGCTGCTGATGAGCGCTGTCCTTTCTTCCTGAAGCATTCGGCTACAGAACTTAACATCCGTGAGTAAGGATTTACAAATGTTTATTTGAGCCTAAATTTTTAAAGAGAAATCAGCTGAAAGCGGGAGGTGATAAAAGGAAGTCCGCCTTCCGACTCTGCTAAGATCAAAGCAAAAAACTTTTGCAAGCTGGGAGCGCTGTGAAAAGGACGTTAAAAAGAAGTTGCTAAGACTGTGCGAATTGGAAGTCATTTATTTGAAAAGGGACATAAGATTAGGAGGTTGGGAAGTGAATGATTTGAATGGAAACCTTTCCTCCTTTTGTTTAAGTGGATTACAAAGCAACCAAATGCAGGGGCTGCCAGGACAATAGGAACTGTCAAATTGCAGAAACTGTAACTAAAAGTGGATCTGTTACTGTTAAGCATTATTGGATACAAATAAGAAAGAAACTGTTGCTTGCACCAACTATTGAAACTTTGTTGGCATTTTGGAAAGCTCTTTAAGTATAAAGGACACTGAAGGTAACTCTTTAAAACTCTCCATTTTGGACTTCTGCTTAAGAGTGGAAAATTTTACTTTCTCATTGAACTACAAAATAAAAATCAGATCTGCAGAAGACCAACTAAAATTCTTGAACGACTACGGAGAGGACCTTCGGAAGGGAGTAGCAGGAGCCGGACCAGCACTTCTACCCGAACCAACACCTGATTTGCCACCGGGTTCGAACGAAGAAGACACACCCCAAGAGGACTCCTAATTTGATCCGGGATGTCTCTGCAACTTCTAAGTTGGAATATTAATGGCGGGAATTCCCCGGAAAAAAGAAGGAAGATCTTTCATATATTGAAAAAAGAAAAATTGGACATTATCTGTTTGCAGGAAACTCATGTGACTAGGCTCCATAGAAAAGTATTAATTAACAAAAGATTAGGTCAAGAATTTATCTCATCAGATAAAGTTAAGAAAAGAGGCGTTGTGATCTACGCAAAGGAGAACCTGTCACCGAAATTGCTATTTAAAGATGAGCATGGAAGAATTTTGGCAATTGAAATACAATCACAAGGAGAAAAGTTTCTAATAGTGGGAATTTATGCTCCAAATGAAGGGAAATCAGAATTCTACAAGAAGCTGCATGAGACACTGCTGGATTACCTGGACTATTCTAACGTCTTTTTGATGGGAGACATGAATGGGGTGGTCTCTACTCACATGGATAAGTCGCAAAATCAAAATTTAACCAAAGATGGCAGACTACCTAAAACCTTTTTTGAACTGACTGACAACATGGATTTGATTGACATTTGGAGGACAAAGAACCCCCTAGGTAAAGAAGGAACATTCTTTTCCGAAGTTCATTTGTCATGGACAAGAATAGACCAAATTTGGACAACTAGAGGACTGGCACCTAAGACCACGAAAGTGGAAATCTGCCCAAAAACTTGCTCCGACCATAACGCCTTGAAAGTGGAACTGAGACTTACTCCAGCCGGTTCCTTCAGATGGAGAATGAATGACACTCTGCTAAGAGACCAAGAGATTGTTAAAAAGGCCCAAAAAGTTTTAAAGGACTATTTTGAAATAAATTTGAACACCTCGGTGGAAAAGAGAATAATCTGGGACGCAAGTAAAGCTGTAATGAGAGGGTTTCTGATACAACAGAACACGATTAAGAAAAAACTCTGGAATGGAAAAAAGGACAAGATATTAGAGAAGATAAGAGATGGAGAGGAAAAATTGAGATCAAAACCAAAATCTAAGGAGATTCTCAGAGAAATTAAGTTTTACCAAGCACAATATGCGAAATTAATAAATCAAGAAGTGGAATGGAAAATCAAACAAATGAAACAAAGATCTTTTGAATCGGCTAATAAATGTGGAAAACTGCTAGCGTGGCAGTTGAAAAGGAGACAAAAATTGAACTTTGTAACCAATCTGGAGGTGGAGGGTAAAAACATACAGAAACCGGAAGAAATAAGAAAGTGTTTCCAGAAATACTTCAAAAGACTTTACACGCAAGGGCCTCAGGAAATGACTGAGATAGAACAATTTCTAAAAGTTAAGGGATTACCAAAACTATCTCAAGAAAAGAGGACAATTTTAAACCACCAAATAACACAACAGGAAATCGAGAGTGCCATCCAGAATATGCAACTTGGTAAATCTCCAGGCCCAGATGGACTTTCCTCCAAGTATTATAAGACTTTAAAAGACTACTTGATACAGCCATTAATGGAGGTTTGTAACCAGATTATGGAGGGGAAGAAGACACCGGAAACGTGGAAAGAAGCCTTCATCACATTGATTCCCAAATTGGAAGCTGAAAAGACTCAACTAAAGAACTACCGTCCCATCTCTCTTCTAAATGTGGATTATAAAATCTTTGCAGACATTTTGGCAAGTAGGTTTAAAAGAGTGCTAAATGAAGTAATTCACAAGGACCAGGCAGGCTTTCTCCCAGGCAGACATTTGTCTGATAACACTAGGAACATTGTTGATATTTTGGAACTCTTGCAAACAAATATCAATACAAAAGCAGTGTTAATTTTCATTGATGCGGAGAAAGCCTTTGATAATATTTCTTGGAAGTTTATGAAGAAAAATTTGGAAGGGTTGGGAGTGGGACAGGGGTTCGAAAATGGTATAGATGCTATTTACTCAGAACAAAAAGCTAAATTGATAGTGAACAATGTGGTGACAGAGGAGTTTAAAATTCAAAAAGGAACACGACAGGGGTGTCCCCTATCCCCTCTTTTATTTATCTCAGTCCTGGAGGTGTTTTTGAATATGATAAGGGAGGACCGGTTGATAAAAGGAATACAGGTCGGAGAGAAACAATATAAATTGAAAGCTTTCGCAGATGACTTGGTTTTAACATTACAGGAGCCAGAATCTAGCACAAAAAGAGTTTTAGAATTGATCCAAGAGTTTGGTCGGGTGGCGGGATTCAAGCTGAATAAGCAAAAAACCAAGGTACTGGTTAAAAACTTGACACCTTTAGAAACAGATGAATTTCGGAAGGAAACAGAATTATCTGTGGTTAAAAAAGTGAAATACCTGGGAATTAATTTGTCTTCCAGAAATTTGAATTTGTTTAAGGATAATTATGAAAAAAGTTGGCTAGAAGTTAAAAAAGATTTAGAAATTTGGTCAAGATTGAAACTTTCCTTGTTGGGTAGAATTGCAGCAGTAAAAATGAATGTATTGCCAAAGATGTTGTTTTTTGTTTCAAGCCCTTCAGATTGTAGACAGACCTGAATGTTTTGGTAAGTGGCAGAAGGACATTTCGAAGTTCGTTTGGCAGGGCAAAAAGCCCCGAATAAAATTTAAAATACTAACTGATGCAAAAGAAAGAGGGGGGTTTGCCCTGCCAGACTTAAGGCTATACTATGAAGCTGCAGCCTTCTGCTGGTTGAAAGATTGGCTGCTTTTAGAAAATACCGATGTCTTGGATCTAGAAGGGTTTGACAATGCTTTTGGATGGCATGCATATTTGTGGTACGACAAGGTTAAGATTCATAAAACATTTAAAAACCATATTGT